TTAGAAATTTTGATTGAGCGTTTGTACTTTGTTTTGAACAAAATTCTAGCTTCCAAGAGAAAATACTTTTGACTTCTTGTTTAGTTTTGATTGGTTTGACTAAAGTTATGGAGACTTCATTAACTAGACTAAGTCTAAAGTTGAATTAATAGTAAGTGGAGGTTCTAGAAGTTGGAAAGTCGCAAATGGTATGTCGCCATCTCAATCTAGGTATTAGTAAAAATCTAGAATGTTTAGGAATCCAATGGCATGTTGCCACGTATTACTAACTAGTCAAACTTATTATAGTTTATCATTGTAAAAATAAGTTAGCTTAAAAATTACCATTTGTTATTATGGTAACTTTCAAGTAATATATATAGAGAGGTAAGAAAGAGAATCTCAAGCAAGTTTGAAAAGTTCAATGTGTAAAGATTTGTTTCATCAATGAAAGAGTGAGGTTTTCAGTATCCTAAAGTGTCTATGATTGTGTAACTTTAGTGATGATTTGGGACTTGGAGCTATGTTGACGTAGCATGATGATGATAGTAAGAAGTTTCTGATTGCGTATGTTAGCTATTCTAATAATGCACTAAAGTCGTGGTATAATTTGTACAAGGTATAATGTCTGGCAATTGTGTGGATTGTGGCACACTTCAGATGTTTCTTTTTTAATATATACTTTATCCATGTTACTGATCATCAACCGCTCAAATGATTGATGAAATCTCACAAGCTCACGGATAAGCTTGTATGGTGGGCTATCATCTTACATGAATATGTCTTTCAAGTAGTGCATAAACCTCAAATCGCAAATCTTGATGCAAGTGGTTTGAGTGGGAATCCATGCACTATCGAATAGGATGACATAGGAGCTAGATTGCATGATGAGGTGAATGAGAATATGGTGTCTGGTTGGCATGCATCGCTTTCTTATGCTTGTTACGTAGACTTTAGTATGAAGTACCACTTGACATCTTATTCTAATCAAATAGGTTATGGCCAATCTTCAGATTTTGAGGTTGAATGTGGAGATATGGATCAGTGTGATATTCACGATCATGCATTAGTATTAGAGATCCTACGTACCAGTATAATGTCACGCATAGTGAGTTCCAACAAGCAAGATTGTGTTCTCTAGCGGACCAATATATGCAAATTGGAGGAAGCACATGCTTTCATAGTGTGGAAGGACGGTAGAGTACAAGTAGTACCGCATGCAGCTCAGAAAGCGCGCATTGTATGTCATGTTCATGAGGAGTTAAACATTTTGGATTGAAGCATACATACAACTTATTACTAAGTAAGTATTGATGACGTGATATGCATACTCAAATACAACAATTAGTATCACGTTGCATGGTTTGTGATCAGGTGAGTGCATCGTTCAATGCTCCAACACCAGAATTACATCATTTATCTATCATGGAATTGAGTTACCGTTGGAGTTTGGACTTTGCTCTACCATTACCTTTGACTTTATAACATCATTGGTATGTGTTAGTGATGGTGAAGCATTTTTCCAAGTGGATTGAGTTGGTGGCATTAACTTACAAGGGAAGTGAGGGAGAAGCGTATGCTTTCCTTGAAATGGTGTTTAGTCATTTTGGTGCAACAGCTGAGATGTTGATCGGTGAGGGTACGGAGTTTCAATATGAGTTTCAGATCTTGTGTGATAAGACGTTGATTGATCATCGGATCACGTCTCGATATCATCCGGAGACAAATGGTGTAGTTAAACGTGTTGTATAAACGACGAAGAGAGCATTGCGCAAGTATGATGTATAGAAGGTGCATCTTGAAGATTAAGATATTCAATTTCCATGATCTGTCATCGAATATCGGTTTATTCGTCAAGCATTTTTTGCTTCCTTCTCGTCATATTTCATATGTTGTACGACTGAGATCTAGACTTGCCGACAACAATTCGTCATGACTCTAATGAGATGGTGAACCTTGATGACCAAGACATGTGCGTGAGAGTATGTTTTCAACAAGCAGAGCTCTTTCTAAAAGTAATGACTGCAGCGTATTAGAACCTTGCAATTCCTCAGCATAAAGATACGTTGCAGTATGCAACGTATTGTCATCGAAAGGGTAGATTATCGTTCATCAATTCGTAGATTTCATGTGCAATACTAAGTCTATTTACAACAGACTGCACCAATAACATCGAATGTGAAGGCTCGACGCACTATCTTGTGAGTGCTGTAGGTGTTATCTTATGGAGTTTTAATGTTAGATAGTCATGATTGTGTTGTTTGGAAGGATCATGTGCGCAACTATGAGTCATGCCACTTCCCAAATGTAGATGTAACTATAGACATAAGTTTGGCAATAATACTGCTGGCTTGAGGTGCATGTTATGTGGGTAAGCTACTCATGCGGCATGTATGTTGGTGTATGATAGGTGTTTTAGGGGATGGCACATGTTGTGCTTGATTACACGTATTTATGTTATTTTGGCTAGACGATGGACTTGTACTCAATGTACTTTGGAATGGTACAAGACTTGATTTTCACATGTTATGAATTGCAGATAAACGACTAACGAGTGTGACATAGCACATGATTTACTGGTTTGCGCATACATGAATGTGTATAGCATGTAATTGTAGATATGGCTACTTGGGAATCTGAGCTACCCGATCGCCAACTAGAGAGTGTTGAATTATGATACATTTGTGTGTGTACAATCTTGTTGACTATATATGTATGTGTGATTTTGGCATGTGAGCAATGTGGTTGTATATCGATACATATTCATATTGAAATCATATTCATATATATATATATATATATATATATATATGAAAAATAAAATTGTACCAATACATTGTGCATAAACAAAAATAAAATTAAATCTGAAAATAATAAACGAATTATGTATATTAATTTTTGTATTTTTTTAAAGGTTAAGAATACTCTTATTAAAATAAACTAATATCATTCTTTCTAAATGCCAATACTAATTTTCAAAATTGAAAGCTTTATACTTTTATGAAAATGAAATTTGGATTCTTAATATTTTATTATTCCAAATTTCTTTCTAAATTCCAATATCAATATTAAAAATTGAAAACTTTATACTTTTATGAAAATGAAATTTGGATTCTTAATATTTTATTATTCCAAATTTCTTTCTAAATTCCAATATCAATTTTAAAAATTGAAAACTTTATACTTTTATGAAAATGAAATTTGGATTCTTAATATTTTATTATTCCAAAGTTCTTTCTAAATTCCAATATCAATTTAAAGATTGAAAACTTTATACTTTTATGAAAATGAAATTTGGATTCTTAATATTTTATTATTCCAAAGTTCTTTCTAAATTCCAATATCAATTTAAAGATTGAAAGCTTTATACTTTTATGAAAATTAAATTTGGATTCTTAATATTTTATTATTCCAAACTTTATGAATGAATCATGTTTATGTTTAAAAAAATATCCCATTTAATCATAAAGTTGTCATAAAAAAATCTAAAAAACATGCAAAGTGATTTAAAAAATCATCTTATCATGTTGGAAAATATAACATCACTTTTTAGAATCAATTTTTTCCAGTTTGATTTTAATTTTTCTGTCATATTATTTTTAATTCAATTTATTTCACATTTTAAAAATTATACTACTATATTTATCTATGTTAAATTACACATTAAAAGATATTATTTTTTTGTTAATTTAATCCTTGATATCAATTCAAATAAATTCCTATTTCTAGATAAACATCCAAGTTCATATATTTAAATCTATGTAAAAATGTGTCTTAATTGTAAAATTTTTTGATTACAAAGTTAATTTCAAACTCTTGTGACTAATCATACTTGAACAGTACATTTATGAATGTGTAGCAAAAAATACAGAAATCTAATATCTAATCATAGTAAATCTAAGTCATCAATTTTTATCAAACAATTCAATCTTATATAAAACATTTGAATCTAATTCAATAGATACATAAATATCTAAATATTTGAAATTTTCATGCATTTGAACAATCTCCATGAATTTTTTTCAAGATTTTTGTACATATCAATTTGTAAATCCTATGCTTTTTTAAGTAATCTTAATTTCATCGTTTGCAAAATAGTTCATCTATTAAGTAGGTGTTAAAAAACTATACAATCTCAACAAAAATACAAACTGTATACTTATGAGTAAAGTCTGCACACATTTTTATTTCTTTTGATTATATGATAACTTGAAATTAATATACTTAAAACATTTTTTTCATTATTTTCTTGAAATCTTCAGATTTCCGATTAAATATAAATAATGATATGTAAATATTAAATTATTTAAATAACCTGAATTTATTCTAGATATATATTGACTAGCGATTATAAAATGACATATGTATTTTGTGATATTAACCATAATAAATTCAAAAACATAAGTGGTTACTAAGAAATCAAATTTATCAAATATAATGACATTAATGATTATTTAATTATTATTATTTCATTGTACATGTATTTCAACCTATAGACTTAAAAAATTGAATATTTTTTTTCTCCAATAAATTTTAATAATATTTTTCACCCAAATCTATACATCAAAGTAATATTCATATATTCTTTTATTGATTAAATCTTACATAGCTTTCGAATTATTTATATTATTTAAATCTTTTTATAGAAGTTATAGTAAATTAGATTTAGATTTAAAAAATTAGCTTTCATAATATTTAACTTCATGATGCATGATGAAAACAATATAAATATTACTCAAAAGCGTATCAGTGAATAAATCATTTCTCTAACTATAAGAATACATTGAATAAAAATCATAATTATTTTCTTTGAAGAAGCCCTTATATACAAAGTCGAATAAAAAAAAATTTATAAATCACATGACAAGAAACTTGAAAAGTGGTAAGTAAGTTCAACACAATATATAATAAACGAAAATATCTTCACTTCATGGTGGTGAAGAGAGATTAAGTGATGTGATTATATGTTTGTGATAGAAAAAAATTCATTTCAAACTTGAATTTTTTAAAAAAACTTATAATCTTACATTCTAACAACATTCAAGGTCTTTAGACAACTAATGTCACAATTTATCTGTACTAGGCCGTTGACATAGAAAAAGCCCCAAGTATGTAACTACTATTGATACTTCAAAACTTTGACTTTCACTCCATAGATTTTTGTGTGTTCATCCCAGGGTCATCCTTTAATAGATGTTATAATTTGACAAATCGTAAGAATACACTACAGAATATATATTCCACATAGTCATTAGAGCTACTCAACTCCACTTCCAACGAGGTGAGAACTATGTCACTTCCCTACATTTTGCACATAATCAGCTGAGATAATAGATACCCACAGCTCACGTTGATTTCTTTCGAAGTCGAAGGACTTCCACATTCCGATGATTTTGAAGAACATCCGCACAAAATGAATCTGCTCCAACATGTAGTCAAGTCATACTCCAGTCCTCAAACCAAGTGCAGGACTAAAAGGACCTTATAATATATAATTTAAACTTGTGTTCGTGGTACAAGAATTCGTCTCGGGTTTTTGTCATTTCCTAGTCTGTGAGGAATGGCATTTTGTGCTGACGTTAAGATCAGCACACACGATTTGTATACTGAGGGCGTAGACACTCGTGATCAGTGTATAATTCACTTTGATGCTTCGACACCACACTCAACTCACAAGATAATCCGTCCTTTTCCTCGCCCTCTCTACTTCCGTTTTCCTCTCGGACACTTCATGTAATATTTGGTATACAATATTCCAATCAAAGTGAATGTAGCAAAAGACAAGTTTGTACAGCTTCAACTGAAACGTTCTGTACTTCGAAGGGCCGAATCCCACGGGGTCTCTTCCTCCATCAGTGCTAATTTCCAAGAGCACTGAAAATTTAGAAGAGAAACAGACCAGCTACATAAGAAAAATCTACGAGAACTGGGACTATGAAAAATTCGAGGACCGTCCTGAAGTTATGTTTCTAATTTTAAAGCTTAATCTGAAAGTCAAGTATTATGGTTAGTGACGTCTTAGTGAACTCTTTCTAGAGCAATCAATTGATTTCGTTGCATACGCAGCTTCTTTTCTTCAATCGCTTACAATACTACAAAGGATAATTGGAAACGTCAATTCTATCAGGTATAACATGGCTATTTGTGCAGCTGCACAATGGGTTCGATCGCTTCATCGCTTTTTGGGTTGAGACAATGTGTTAGAATGATTAAAATTGCAGGTCCGACAATGTTCTTGACCTTGAACAAGGCCTATAAAACGAAGAAAATGATACAAACTAATGATTCATAGTGAGCCAGGACCAGCACCAAAAGCATTTGTCCGTTGTCCATAATACTAATTGGTATTCTACATGGTGGTCATCAATCATGTCCTCCATTATTAAGAACTGATACAATTGTTTCAGTACGATCAAGAAGGAGCATATGACAAGGTTTTAATTTATCATTAATTGCGACACAAAAAATGATAAATTAAACAAGAAAAATTGTAAAACTGTATTATTGTCCTTCGAGCATTTTTAATATCAAGTGTAGAATTGAGAGCGACTTTAAATTCTGGACAGCCAGACTTGTACATGAAGCATCATTCTGAAAGAGAGGCGATCAATTACCATGACAAGCTCTAGTTATCCTAGCCAAAGACATTTTCTTCAAAATTTGCGTGGAGCTGCATTCTCTACTACAAATGAAAACAAAGACACAGTAGTAACAATTACATATCTATATTAACATATTAAACTATCGCCCATCAAGTGAATAAAGGTTCTTGTTAGTAAGTTCACTTCAGTAGTCTAAGACAACCGTTGCACGAAGGCAAACCGGTGTCACAAAGACCTCAAGCTTCCAGGCTAGAGTATGTAAGCATACAATGTGATGAACAGACAAGATTATCTTACTGTCAAAGTTGGGATTTTAAAAATACATAATCTTTAGTAGGACAGGAGAAGGAACGCTTAGATCGGCCACGCAAACGGAAGTACGCTAACACAGGAAGAAATCGAGTAATGACGTACGATCAGACAGCAGAAGGAAAGGTATAACAAACCTCCAAACTGGAAGTCGCATGAGAATCAGAGGATGATGAATAGGGACGTCCAATAATAGATCATGAGTCCTCTTGTCATATAATCTCCAATCTAGCTGCTTTGTTCGTTAATAGGAATGCAAAATGATGTCCTATCTAACCCCTTCCTTTCACTTAATTCTAAAACTCAACTCTCAAATTCACCTAAAAAGGTGTTGTATGTAACCTTGGCACTGAAACCGAGCTACAAGAATTCCATTTGGAGGGGCATAATATTCCTCAAACGAAAAAGATCTCATAGAAGCAAAATAATTTTAAAGGAATTATTGAGAAGCTAATGCTTGCTTCTGGTGTGCAAAGTTTCTATATTGCATGCAAATGTCAACTCTGCAAATAAACATCTTATGAGAAGTGCTTTTGTCCACCAAAGATTGATTTGACTTTGATTGAATTAATTTTGCGGCTAGCTACGTACAAGGATATGTCTAGACCTCCCTTATCTCCAGAAATTTGATCTGTAGTCTGAGGTGCTTCAACCTAGAATTCAGAAGAAGAAACTAAACTGTGAGTTCAGGCCAGCGTCTAAGATAGGATCTTGTTGGAGGGGACAGTTGTTTCAATGTCTAAATAACTCAAAAGGTTTTAAAAATACAAACGTCCAAAACAAGCTTTGAGGCTGCTATGATGAACAATGTAATGGAGAGCACGAATCTGCGATCGATAATGACAATATATATTATGCAAGCCCATAAGCTACTCAAACTTAGTAACTCTTCCGAACTAAATGGTCAGCCTTAAACACGAAAGTCAACAAAACTTATGCTTCAGGACCAAGAAAGGGCAATTTTGACAAAGAAACTTGTAAAACAATGTTCGTTGTCCAGGCGCTTTTTGATCCAGAATCCACTTACTGAAGCATATTCAGCTGCTGAGAAAACTAACAAAATAACCGAACAATCCTAAGTAGATTACAACAGCAACTACCCAATTAACTTTTGTGAGCCCTCCATCATAAAAGAAATAAAACCATGTTCACATTTTAAATAGCAAAGGAGACAGATACTATCGTAAATATCGACACATACGAAAGGTGGGCAGACGAATTATCTCATCGGTCATTACTTCACAGAATTCTACTATTGAAAGAAGTTACATATAATTTTCTCAAGTACCAAAAGAAGCCAACTTTGAAAGATGTACAAGAGAAAGTTCATTCCCAAGGGCTTGGAGACAAAACACCAGCAGGATGGGGCAACCGTTTATCTCAACAATCTTACTTACAGTGAAAGATAAAACCCAGTGACCGTGTATTTCAGTAAGATCAAAAGTAAATAACATCTCACCAGACTTCGTTTTGAAGAGAAGTGGAAGAGGAGAAAAACTTCTCATTGTAGAGAGCAAATAAAGACCATTTTGATAGCAATGTGAAATGTCAAGGAATTTTGCACATTGACATTAAGAAGTAGGAAGAATAAAATTTACGATAACAGGACAAATAAAACACAAAGGGAGAACAAATTCGAGCCACATTGCGGGTCAGGCCGTCCATCTTGATAAAAACGAGAAACTGAGAAAATCCAAACCCCGCTTTGCAAAGGGTATCTCTTAATTCACAATTACTTTGGGGCTTTACAAATGTGTCGAGCACACTACATCATTCGTGGGTGCTCCACGACTCAGAGTTGGGCCCCTAGGGTCCTGTAACAGAAACTACATCTTGGCTACTAAATCACATTATTAGGGTTACAAATCGTTAGAATACAGAAGAATTGACAAAAACTGTGAAGCAGAAGATTCTACAATTCAATCAGTAGTCCGGGCGATGCTGCAGAAATGTTCAGCAGTGCTATCCGCTACTCTCACCTCAGTCACCATGGGGCCCTTTTGGTCTCCTCAAGTAGGCTCTTCTTACGCACTCGCAGCATTCTTGCCCGCTTGACCATCCTGAGATTGGTCAGCTTTGGTATCCAGCACTGTCACGTCTGATACCGCGGGACTCCTCAAATCTTCGCCTTGAAGGATGGCAGCAACATCAATACCTTCACTTCCCTCATCGCTATCCCCGTAGTGAGTGGCAATCGCATCTTTCAGCTTTTGTAGTTTCGATAAAGAGCAAGAAAATCCGTCCAGCTTCCCCGCTGCTCCCTTGTAGATATGGAAAAAAGGCAGCACCTTAATGTTCAAACTCTTGCACATGGGCTTGTTCTCGTCAAAATTCACTTTGATAAAATGGGCATCGCTGTACTGCTCGGCAAGCTTGCAAAACTTCGGGTAAAGCGCTCGGCATGAGCCACACCATGTGGCAAAAAACTCCACCACCACGAGCTTATTCCCGGCCCCTGAAAGAGCATCCAAAAATTCCTGGGTAGAATGCACATCGTGGATGTTCGGCGCACTTCCCTTCTCCCACCATTTCAAGTCCGGGCCGTCGGTTTCAGCAATTGCAGCGTTCACGGAGCGCGCGGCCGTTACACCGACGATGGAATTGCCGTGGGAAGCTACCGCCCTCGATTCGAACGGGGTAAGACTGCCGACATGCTGAGACCCGAGCCGAGAGGTGCGACTGCAGCATTCCCCGACTCTCGCAACGCAAACTCTTCCACCACCGGCACTGAAGCTCGGCGACGCTCCGATGCTCACACTGCTCCTCGTCCCGTCCCTGGCCGATCGTCCCTCCCGCACTCGCCCTCCCAATTCCGCCCACGACGAAACCTGCTGATGCACCAGCGAGGCTTCGACGGCAATGACCATGGCTGCAGCAGGCGACGCGCACAACACCCCCCTCCCTCTGCTGCAGCTCAGCTCGGCTCCGCTCCGCTCCTCTCGCGCTGCACAAGCAAGCACGCTCTCCCGAAAAGCCAAAACCCCAACCCCGACCCCTCACTCCCACTCCTGCCCCACGGAGCAAATCCAAATCTCTCTCCCCCTTACAAAAGTGCTGCGGGGCTCGGCCTCAATCCGCCGTGCTCGAGAGCGACGAGAGCGAGGGGGGGATGGAGAGGCTCATCCGCCATGGACGAATTTTCTGTGGTCGACGCTGACCTCGACGACGGAGCGCCTGGAGCCTTTTCGTTTGTGGATCGGATCCCTCATGTGCCGCTTTCGCAGGATTTCAGCGGGCCTGCCTGCCTGCCTGCCTGCATTCCACCGTTCCCGACCGCTGGCCGCGTGGTTCCCCATTTTCGAATCCCCTCTTACCATGATATTCGCGTTTTGGCTATTTCATTCCTTCGCCGCCTCGCATTCTGTATTTGGGTTGCGCATGGATCGCTGCTTTCAAGATTTCTCGGATTGTGGACGGCAAGTGCAATTTCAGTACTCTTTACTACTCTGTCAACATTTCTCAACAAGCGCCATTAACCTTTTCGTATTATCACATGAATTCCATCTCAATGGCATGTTATTTGTACTGTATTCCATAGAAATTTGCTTCAAGCAATTGAGATTGAGTCAATGTTCATATCTTTATGAGAAGTGGTCTTTGGTTAAATTACTCAATACCCATTACAATTTCCTCCAACTAAATAAAAGTCCGCAATCTCCAATGATATGTCATCATCACATGGCCAGCTACAATTCTAATGTATTTCTTGATAAATTGCTTATTATTTTAACATGAATTGACTACATTCTAATCCTATTAAGGAAAAATGCATCCTCAACTATACATTCCAAAAAAAAACATTTGAACAAGAGAAAAATAATAATTCAATTCATCTGACTATTTGAATGAGTTATTATCTTCAAAATTTTACTATCATTTTATAATGAAATGATATCACAAATATTTGCCCATCAAATTATACATGGCTATTATACCAAATGAATGTTAAATTAGAAAATTATCATGGGCAAATATGTGATATACAATGCACTAACTAGTTACTAGTTAGTTAGTATAAACGGGCTAGTTTAATAAGGCTTAGTTATATCACCTTGACCACCATTATATAAGATAGTAAATTATAAATAAAATATATAAATAAAATAATTCGGAAATTCATAAATAATTTATTGTGTTCCATGGCTGCTGCGAATTGTCTATGTCTTTAATCTATTAATTGAAAAAAATATAACTATGAATATCAATGCTGAACATCAAATGATATAAGAGCATGAATGATAGTATACAACTGATTTTGTGCAACAAACCTTAGAATGAATTGTTCTCATATGAGTTTCAGAGGATTATCATTTTTTAAATGATAATTCTGTGTCAATCATTGACTTCATCATGCATTTCAAAACATTTTCAAAGAGTACCAAGTGTGGAAAAATAAATTAACTAGATTTAGATAACTGAATAAATTTGAAATTTAAAAGATTGTGGTGTGTGTGTCAACGTTAGTAAAACTAAGATATATTGTTAGAAAAAAATTTATAAGCAAAAAAACATTAAAAAAAAAATCATATCATGAGATATAATAAATAAGAATATAAATATCTATACTTAACAAAAAATTGTGATTTATGATGACAACGGTATGAATACTATAATTTATTTCAATAATTAAAAACTGAATAGATTTTGGATTGTGGTTATTAAAATTAAATATGTTTAATCAAACATTTTTTGTATAAAATAATAAAAATATGAATTTTGACGAATGATAACCACATTTTTTCAATTAAAAGCATAAGATCTGTAAACATTTTATATGGTTGATCAATGTATTCATGATGTGAGAAAACTTTTGATTTTTGTTAGTATATTAGATGAATATGATCATTAGTAAACTTCGATGGATGATATATTTCAAAATAATATTGGAAACTATCACTTAGACAAATTAATATTTTTTATAGATATCAAAATTTTGAAAAAATAATAATTTAAACTATATAATAATGCTCGTGATTTTTGATTTATAAAATCACATTATTACAAAAGCATGTTTAGTTTGTAAACACATATTTTTCCAACATTTAAAAAACATAATAGATTCAACATTGTATGTTTAAAAGAACATGTAATTGCTTTTGATATTATATATATATATATATATATATGATGTGTCTAACAAATATCTTATTCTGTCACATTTTGGATTGTTACACTATATAACTTTCATTGACAAATCTTTGAAATTTGTGTGAAGTTATTTTATACATCACAAATTTTAGATCTGACAAGTTGAAATCCAAACCGGGAAGAAATTGAAATTTTAATTGAACACAAAATAAAATATATTTATGGATATTTATGATATATTATTAATGGAAATTTTAGTTTTCATATTATTACAATATAAATTGACATATAAAAAACAACAAATAGTTACGTCGTCGAGTTCCGTAATCAAAATATAAAAAAATGGACTAGATTGTGTTCATAAAAAATAGAATACACATTTTATAAAAAGTATAAATATTGTAGGTTATTTGATAGCCGTATGTTGTTATTCTGTATTTAATTATATGATCTTATATTAGATGAAGTATGTACTACCAGTTTAGGTATCTACTATCTTGTCTGTAAGCTACATTTACTTCCGAAACCTGTATTTTTCTTGGAAATCAAACTCATTTAAAAAGAATATCAATGATTTGGTTTTGGTATCAAGTCACATTTTAGTTGATTATCGATATGATTTCTTATTTAGAAAAAAGACGATTGGTACATGAGAAATACACGAGGCGGTTCATATTCATTAAATATCGTTGATAGTAGAATATTATTGATTATATTGTACATTCACTATATAGTCAAAAATCTGTATATGTTGTTGTGAAAAAAAATAAAAAATACGTGAAGAAAATTATTTTTTAAATAAATTATTTCTGATAAAATAATTGGGTGAATCAAAATGATGATATATTAATTATTTCTCATGCTTTTGTCCAAATAATTTGTCAGTAGAGTTTTCTAAAACATATGTCACATTGCAAGTTTTGCATATATGTATAAATGAATATAACATAAAATTTTGTTTAGTTTGTATATAATTATTTTTTAATATCTTAAAACGTCTTAACGATATGTACACATCATGTTAGAGAACGATTAAGTGTACAATTTTAGTGTAACTTCATGTCAGAGAAAAACAGAAGAAGTAGCTGCTTAAAGAAGTTTAGCACCACAAGTATTTGCGACTTGGATATATCTTTAACTTAAATGTTGTTTTGTAGCATAGAAATACGTAAAACATTGTTAGTAACATTTTTTATGCTTCACCATCTCAAAGCAAACAACAAGAATTAGTTTCATTCTCCTCCAAATTTGTTTTTTTACATAATTACGAACATTATCTAGTCGATGGTTGGTTGGGATCCTTGACTTGCTGGCTTTTAAAAATAGAAGTAAACGAGTAATATGGGAAATAGAATTTTCAATATCAAGCCATTTATTTCATAATGTTGTAATACGCATATTATGAAGCTACATCTTTGAAACAACCTTTGATTAGCAGTTGAGTCATCATATCAATGTTATACTGTATACCATGATTTGTGGTTGTAGTGATTGGAACAAGTCATGAACTGGTTAAATGTTTGGGATATTATCTAATGAATTGCTGTATGCTACCTAACTCATCGGTGCATGTATAGGGATTCTAAGGAAAATAAGTTTGAATATGTAGCAAAGTAATTTTTGACCAAAATTAAATACACCGTTCTGCTTTCACATAAAGTAACTATGTCACTGTTGGTAAGTAGAGAATACAACGTAGTATATACTATTGCCGCTTACCTTACTTACAATGTACAATGACATAGGTGAATACTACTATATAGCTATCGATTAGATTTTGTGTTTATTAAGTATCTAACACATGATAGGAAGTATGTGTTACATAGTGTAATTGTTTTTCACAAATTAGAAAAACATTTGAAACTCAATACATCAGTTAATAGATATGCAACCATCTAAACAAGAACAATATCTATTTTCTTGGAAGGATTACACGTAATATAAAGTAGCTTTCATCCATGTTCTTGTCACCACCTGAGAATTATATAGCAACTGCCTGTATTTTTTGTTTTCCTTGCTATCGCCTTTTGGTTCTAAGGGTCTTTACGTGGCATAAATAATGTCATTCCGTGTTGTTTGAGCACTGGCTTTACGGAGGAGATTTCTGCAAGTTTCACGAATGAACTGATCTGTACCTCAAAATAGTTATATTATATACAACTATTTCAAGTTTTTAAATGCGGTCGATGGTATGCAAGGGCATTTGGTCTAGGGTGGGTACGAGCCCCATCTACCATCTTTGGTTTCATCCACGTGCCGCTTGCTTGCAAGGATGTAGGAGAAGTCTTTTCTAGAAACTCAAAATGTCTCTTCTATCAAGTTCTACGCTTGACATCTGTCAAGACTGATCGACGATCAATGTCAAACCTCAAATTATAAAACTCATCGTACGATCGGTACTGGTGGTGTCAAGTTCCGAGGCCGAAACCCGAGACTGGGAGGGGAGCTCCATGCTCGTAGGGCGACGAACCTTTGGACCTCCAAAATTGTTCCTTCTTCCCCTCTAAAACAGAAGGGGACAAATATGCGTAGCGGTAGAGTGTCCAGCCGAGGCCATACGTATAGGGGAAGTAATTTGCAACTTCCGAGGGAGAAAGGTGGTGTGCACTGAGAAAAGAAACCAGGCGACGAAGTTACCTCCTACCGCTGTTAGAATACTCTGACCGTCATTTACATGCAAAGATAGAATTTCAATTGGATGCTGGATCTTACATATTCCCGGTCTCGTTATAAGAATAATCAGTTGTAAATCTCGCTGCCCCAATTAAAACCTGCCCAGTATGAATGTCTATTCACATGCGTAAAAATATATACATATATATATATACCGATTTTCTAGAAAGCAAATTAATTTTAGTCGTCATGATTCGATAGATTCTGCATGAATTGCGTGGTAGTTAGTTTCGTATAATTGCTTGCAAAAATTGATTGATCTGTGAGACATGTTGTTGAAAAACACAAATCAGAAAAGATGATATTCTAGATACATGATACAGTACCCATCATCGTATAGACACGGCGGCCTACTTCCTTATGCACCATGAGTCATGGCCCATGACCCACTACGACCATACTACGATAAGAGTATAGTGTTGAATTTAATATAGCAACTTCAATGTGAGATAGAGATATATCATATATCTAATAATAGGAATACACTATCCAGTATCTGTTCAATTGGGAACTTCGCGGTGTGCAATGCCTGCTCCCTGGGTGGACAAGGTAGAGATCTCATACTCCTCTACATCCACGAGAGAGCCAACACATGTCACCCAATATGGAAATGTGCCACAATAATGTCATGTGCACGTCTGCTGTCATCACTGCCTACAAAAAAACTCCCTCTTATATCGGAGCTCACTTGCGGTGGTACGGTATGACAAAAGAAAATCGTACGGGTTAGAGAAGTCGTATACTATTTTGAAAATAAAAGGTGACGAACTAGGGTGCGGTAAATCTCCGACGTTTTCTGTGGACAGTCCCGTCTGCTTGACGGTACAATCCCGCCGGTTGCGCCTCGGCCGACGCTGAGCTCTGCGGACCAGTCGAGCTTTTAATAACTTCCGACCCCGTTTGCAGATATGCCTTCCGTGCCAGCAGCAGCGTAGCGGTGCCTGAAAGACCGACGGCGGAAGATGCGTGACCACCCGGCGCCCGAAGGCTCGACCATCCTGATCTTCCACGCAATGTGCTGGGCGGTCCGACGGTCAGGCTGCCGGCAATTTCACGCAACGGGTCCCCGCAGAAGTTGCATTTCCCGGACTCACTCCGTGGCGCGTCTATTGGACGTCGCCGTGGGCTCCTCATGCCACGTCCGACAAAGCCTCCGACCGGGAGGTGGCGACGGCGCAGGGGTGGACAGTGGCCCGCGAATGGCACAGATACACGTGGCATATGTCGGTGTACATGGACTGGTGTAGTGAGGAAGCGAAGCAATTGGACATGTGACGTCGATGCCCGTTCTCTTCTCGTTCAGCAGAGAGCGAGCGGGAGTAAGAACTACGGTAGCACGGATCTCGGACTCTAACTCGTCCGGCCTGTCATCGCTCCCCCTTTCCGGGGAATTTATTTCTGTCCCTCCTCCCCCTTTGCTCTCCTCGTGCTCCTCCTCCTCTCCTTTCCCTTCTGTGATTATTACAGAATGACAATTGACTTTCGTAGACATTCCTCGGCCTTCTTTCCCTCGCCCTCCCTCTCCCTTCGTTGGTTGTGTGTTGAGTGTAGTTTGACTGGGTGGTAGTACTCCCCAAGATTCCGTATAATCCACTGCGGAGTGTCTGTGTCTGTTAGGTTCGAGAGAAGGAGGAGGGAGGGAGCTTTGGAACGATCGGTCGGGTGGATTCGTTTTGTTGAAATGTGCGAGAGCGTCGAGGTGAGACCAGAAGGGAGTCTAGTGTATTGTGGCGAAGAAGGAGATGGCTCCATCGCAAGGTGTTCTTTCCGAGGCTGTGGCCGAAGTGGGGAGTGCCCAGAGGGCTGCTGGAATTGCCTCAGTTTCTTCATCGTCTCCTCTCTCGTCTGCTGAATTGAATTCCTCGACGAGGTGGTACAAACTCCGTTTGCACGCTTCGAGGGCTGGAGCGCTATGGATAGCAGGATTTGTGGAAGCTTGCCGAATCGATCGGGCAGTTTTACTGTGCAGAAGGTTGATCACTCTACGAGTAACCCTTGTTCAGTGGTAGCATTATATTCCGTAGGATTGAAGCTGTGGAGGAAATCTCATGCGATTTCTGTTCTTCCGGAGATTCCCTATTCTTCAGTACTAACTTTAAATTCATTTTGTGGTTGATATTCTCATCTTCTAATTAGTCAGTTACGATGTTTCTACTATTCTCAGTTTACTAAAAATCTGCTACGCAATGATTCAACTCCAGGTTTCCATGATTTTATACTATGCCGGTGGTAAACTTTTGTCTCTTACCGTTGACTGATGTTTGAATTCTCTGCAATATCCTCTGTGGTTTCGCGAGGATTGTCAACTCACTCCGAGGATCAATGTCAAATTGTCACTGCATACAGACACTGCTCGCATTCCATTGCACTGCTTCGTGTGAAAATTCTTTCTGTAATAATATCTTCACTTTATGCGATTTGTATCTGATGTTCCTTTTATTGCTGCTTTCCTAAATGGACACATTGCCATCAATTCTGTTTGATTGATGTGATATGTTTCAAGTTAACATCTCTGTTAGAACGACACATGTGTTCACTTCTGATCTCTTTATTTCGAGGCCTTCAAAATTCTGGAGCCGCAGTTTCGGTTCGAAGAGAATGCACTGATGTAGTCATGCTTGGGTCTGGTCGTGCTGTGAACGGTGAACACCACGCAATGCAGTTGATTTTGAGTTCTTTTCGAACGGGAATAATTAATAACCTGTTATAGAAGACCTTCTTGGTTGTTCTGATTCTTCTCAAATATATTCCGATTTTTTATATATATGTGTAATTAATCTTTTCAATCGATTACTTGGATTTTTCTATGTTCTTTTTGTTTTGTTTCGTTTCCTACTTTACCTCAAATTTCCTATTTTCGATTCTGCAAAGATCCAATTGTGATTTTAAACGTTTGTTCAGGACTGTTTTGATGTTTTCTTTTGCTTATCAGCTCATATGTTTCTTTTTTGATTTTTTGATCATAATGTTCTGTCCATGAATGTGCGGATCTTTATAATCTGACGATGGAACTCTCGCTCTCCGTACAGCCTTAAGCAAAGATATTATTTCGTCATCTCTACGTTGTTAAGATGACGAAATGAATTGTTGTTCTCGAACTCATTGTATCTCTATTTCTACTAATTACATTTCAAGTGCCTGAGTGCCACTCACAACGCTGATGATTTACACAAACGAAATGTTTTTGTAAACTTAATTTGGACAGAAGTTTGTGACTAGCAGTAATTGGAAGATGAAACTTGCATGGGGAACTTCCCATGCAAGGTTCATCTTCGCCACTCTAACGTGGAAAAAAAAAAAAACTAGTTGGGAGAGTGGTATAAGAACGACTGTATGATGGCCTCTGCTTGTTGCTGTACGTGGCTTCAGGAGAGTCTAAGATCCTGGCAAAAGGAGCCGCTAAACTGGTGGCATGTTTTTCTGCAGATCTAAGGAGGTTCTCAAAAAAACTGGCCAAATTTTTGTTTTGAACGGCTGCATTTTCCTTGGCAGGTGTTTCCCCATGAACCTTTCATTTTGATATGTTGGAATTTACTCACCACCATCAGATTCGTTTATCGTTGTGCAGCCGATTCATATGTAATAACATTGGATTGTTGTCCTTGACACCATTTAAAGCATGAATGAAATTTTGTTTGCTAGAAGATTCATGAAACTAAGATGTTGTAGTAATCCACGTTTGCAGCATATGGCTTCTGCAACGGTGTTTGCTCCCGCTACTACTTTGGCTGTTAAGGTCTCCATCCCTTAGGCAAGATGGAGATTCAGCTGTAGGACGTTCTCAAGGTGGCGGTTTGCTTCATTCAATAATTATTGTGCTTTGCTATGTAAGTTGCCTTATGTACTTCTCATGTTTTTGTCTGGGCTTTAGGTTTATCTGGGTTTGTTCTGTTTGATTAAATGAATCATGTATGAGCGATTTTGTTTCTAGTTGCAACATTGATTATATCATGATAGGTTGGGAATATTTATACTTTATTTTATGTCATGCATAGACGATAAGTAGAGGATAGTTATCGCATGCTAAAACCCTTAGTGATTTCGCTCCTATACATAGTTCTGATGTGATGATTTTTGCAGGGTTTATGGTTGTTCCCTATATATGTAATCACTTTTGTGGTGAATTGCGTATGGTAAGTTTTCATATGGTGACCAACTTCAACACACCTCGTTATCTGAAAGTTTTTGAGATGCTTTAGTGACACATTCACGTTTGTGTATAGCTAGGATTGCACAATCAAGAAAATTGCAAACCCTGAATTTTGAGACATTTTATTACAGGTACAATGATATTGCTCGGCATGCATACAGAGCTATGGACAGAGGTGGGGTTCAGAACCAGAAGGTTTCTCAAGTACAAATGAAGAACGACAGCAGTGGCTTTAGAAGGCAAGACCTGCTGTGCCTTTAACTCACTCTTCTCCTTATAGAAGGTTGTATTTAGGATCTGAATTGATGCTGCGAAGTCTAAATGCATGACGGTCAATGTCTGTGATTTGTAACAGCAGTATGTGTAGCACTGAGTTATGTTTGTGTCCATATGTTAGATATGTTTGTGACAGCCTTATCTAACTACACGATGGGCCTCGTGGAAAACATTCAGGCCCATTTTTTAGTGGTTTGTGATTGGTCTTCACAATGAGACGTTGTGGGGAAGACTTCAATCATGCATTGTATATATATTTCAGTCCTTTCGACTTCCTCCCATTTGCATTGTCACAGCTTTATCTGCGCAAAATTCAGTCTGAATTTCATTCCTCCTTGGTGGCTGTATGTGCAGTATCATGCTAACAATTGGCGAACAGATCTACTCAATTTTCATGCTTGGCGTTTTCTTTGTAGAGGTAATTGCACAGTGAACATGACATATAGCGACGGATCAATTCTGATGCATTTTCTCTTTATAATTCAATTCACTTCCTACAGATGGTTTATTCATTTCAACAGATATAATGAAATATATGCTGGAATGATGGAAAATCATATCACTTTTTAAGGTCAGACACTTTTTCTTATGTGTTCAACCGTGCAGTTTAGAAATCAAATCTGCTGGTGTATTTGATACACGTGCTTAATGTTTGTGCCAGACAAGTTAGAAGTATAATAGTTCATAATCAGATGCTATATATATATTATCGATCGGCTCCTTTCCCAATAATTACGTTTTGTTTGTGTGCTGCAGATCTTTGCTGTCAGCTACATCCCATACATCGGGCAATTGTTCAGTTTTGTTATGCTATCTTGGCTTTATGCGTACTATTGCTTCGAGTAAGTTTTTGAATTGATCTCATTCCACCTTCCAGTTTAGGGATACTTTTATCTTTATCCTCACCGTCATCTTTGATTGGTTTCGTTGACAATATCACTTATTAATCGTTCCATTCACTGCCTTCTACAACTTTCTGAATTTGTATCGAGTGATGTTTTTCTCTTGAATTTTGTGTTGAGCAGCTACAAGTGGGGCTTTGCAAAATGGAACCTTGAGAGACGCCTGCTCTTTTTTGAAACAAATTGGGCCTTCTTTGCGGGATTTGGTAAGATCTTACTTTTTCATGTTTTTTGAGAGTATCTACCTAGTATGAATATGTTCAGTACTGTATCTAATAAGAAACGAGATCAATCCATGAGGCTATCTTGGGGCTATATTTGGAACCTCATGAGATGCTGTAATTGCCCAATGGCTCCATGACAATATTTAGGGCAACTTCTACGGAAAGGGTGTTCATACTTTCTGCCGTAACTTACTAAAAGAATTAGATGTAGGGTGCACCCTACATCTAATCTTCTTTGATGTTTAAATTGTATTCATGGATATAATGATCTTTAGCCACCAAATCAGGACGCGCATGTTTTAGTGGAAGCTAAGATTTGATTTTGAATTGTCTGCAGGCAGTCCTTGTGTGCTTGCTACTTTTTTCTTGTCTCCGCTTGTCAGTGCTGGAGTTATGAACGTTCTCTTTCCTCTGGTGAGTTCTTTCTCGAAGTTTCTACAAGTGCTTCGTGTAAGTGATATCCTGTGACTGGCCATATCCAATCGAGGTGGGGATGTTGCAATCACTCTAGGTAGGACAAAAGATTAGCATTTTGTGGTGGTTAACTTCTTTGACCTACTTCTTAGCGCACATAATCTGAATAGAATGATTTGTGGATATTGGATGCAGTTTGTATTGGTAGCTACTGCACTTAATCAAGAGGAAGTGGTGAAGAAATGTACATTCATCTCCCCGTCTCTTCCGAACCCAACCAGGCTGCCCATCTTTCAAATTCCAAACACTTTCCTGTAAGTTACTGACTTGACGCACATTGTTACCCGGTCTGTCCCGACTTGCACTTCGTGAGAAGGTTTTAAACTTTCCAACAATGGTTGCATAGTCTCAGGAAACAATAAGTCTAGCTTTTATTACTTCCTGATGTTTTTTCCTCCATGCTTGAGCAGAACTTCCAGTACTAACAGGAGATGGACTTGTATCGTTTGTCTACAGGGGACCGGTGCTGAAGGTTTTGCAGCCAAGGTCCAGAAACACTCCCTCTTCTATTGACAGGAGGAAGAAAGCGTATTGATCCGTTGCAATGTGTGATTTCTTCTAGAATATTAGAGATAGTCTAGGTCTTCCTTGTAAATAAGATCGTGTTGTAGATGTCAATGTACTAAAGAGTTAAGTGGTGAGGATGTTTTTGTTGATATTGTGGCCTCAGGAATTGAAGATAATTCCGTAGCGCATTTGCTGACGGCTCTTCTGTTTCTTCTGTTCAAGAATCGGTTTTATCGTGTTCTTGCTGTTTCATGGTGGACCAATGGAAGTTAAGTATTGATCAGTTAATCAATCAAGTGGGGAAGTGCAAAGATCCCAACCCTTCCACCCTCGTTTGGTTCAAAAGTAGTTGAGCCCTGTATAATACCTTCAAATAGCCAAGAATTTTCACGAAACCTCGAACCATCAAAGATATGAGGTCCAGCATGCATCAACAAGGTTCTCTGGAAACTCCTAAATCTGTCAAGTTCGGTCGATCACAGTCGTATATGGATTTTGGTTGTTTAAGATCAAACGTGCACAATTCGAGAACCACGACGAGCCGCATGATACAACCGAGTCACGTTTGGATCATGTCTTCATTCTTTGAATGACAGGTTGAATGGTGAAGGTTATTGAAGTAAAACGCGGAAGTTAATGTGATAACTTCGAAGTGTTTAAGGCATCTAAGGTTTAAGAAAACTTTACCCTCTCTTGCAGTGATACGTGGACAACACAGCATGACCAAGAAAGTTGCATTCAGGATCCGGGGACTAAGACGCCTCCAAAGACTGAAGAGTGACTCTAGATATAAGCTTTTGTAAGATGTTCGTAGTAGTTTATGCTAAACTAGATCGAGAGAAAGCAGAAACCAATCGAAATTATCAGACCTATTATAGTCCACCTGTACAACATGTGCATTGCAGAATTTGGAAAAAAGTGTAATTATATTCATTCCGGTATTCATTGTGCTTAACTAGTTCGAAAATAATGTTCCTGATCTACCGAATGCCCGTTCACTTCTCTCGAATCACACATGATGTCCAATGGAATGTATACTAAATTAGTTTCGATCATAAACAAAACCTGAATGCTCAAGATGTAAAAGGCTTCTGTAAGAATATGGCAATCATGTATTATTTCAATACTAAAGCTTGGAAATTCCTCTATAGATATTTATTAAAAATTAATATATTTTTTGGAAATTTATTAATGAATTCAATTTCATTTTTGTACTCCACGTCGAGGAAGTGCGTGAATAGTGTAAAGTATATCATCTTTTAAATTCTCATGGTCATAAAACATGTGTCATTTTCCCTCGCCTTCCATTATGTAGAGTAGCTTCCATCAATATAAGTAAAGAAGCAATTCCGACCTGGTCTTTGGAAACAGATTACTTCTCTATTATGGACTAAAGATCAGGCGATATAAGAACGAAAATAACTATTTCGAGAACATTTTTCCATCCGTTATTTCACCACTCTAGCGTATCTAGTTTTAAAACCATTTTTACTATAATTACAAAACTTTCAGAAAGTATGGTTGTCTCTTTCATCGCATAACAATTCATGTATTATCCGCAAGAAATCCAGACAACAATTTGATGCCATTTAAATCTTCATGTCATGCTTTGGGTCATACAGATTGTTTTAGGTTCTATCTATTTTATTACGTTGTCCTAGGATTAGGGAAGTTCCCATACGCCACAATAAATAACTCATTGTAATAAGACGATAATAGCAAAATAATATAAATAACACGACACATAACCTTGTAATAATCAAAATCAAAATTTTTCCGTGATACGACGAATTTAACACTTGTAGGATAAAAATGTGCCACGAGCAGAAACCAATTGTGTTCCATTTCAAATGACCATTTCACTTGAAATTCACCTAGTGCGAAATTTGGTATTCATTTAGAGTACAGTACTGCCACAGAGGTGGCTGCGTGAGAAGCTAACCCGAGCTAACCGTGGTCTCCATAATGCAACGTAGACTGCGTCTGTCTGACCAGGGTCGAGCCTTTCCATAGAGTCCGCAGAAGGGCCCGGGCTTTATTTTTGCGTTTTGAAAGCGGGCCCGACTCTGTAATTCTCTCTCGACTGGAAGTCCGAAGGCAAGGACAACCCTAAACCGAATCGGACGGCCTGAGACTGCTGGAAGTTGAGGGCCCATCCGAGGCGTCCGTTTGGAGAAATCTCAGGGAGGGCAAAGCAGAGCTGGAATGCGAGTCTCGGTCTTTTGGTCGCGGCCCAGCAGCAATCCGTCTCTCTTTCGGAGCTTACACTTCGTTTCTCTCGATCTGAAAACAGATACTCAGGAGAGGTGCACGCTCCGTCGTCAAGATGGTACATTCCGTCACCTTCACGATCTGAATTGCGCTGTATCTAGAGTATGCAGTCGGTAGCATTGCCCACCGTGTGTTTGTGCGTCTGCCGATGTCTGGAATGAGGCCATGAACTGGTCACATGGAACGAATTAGGGTTTGATATGTCGAGATTTTGAGGTTGCGCGAGTGTTGAAATGGATGTTTCGGAATTCGTTGCAGGTTAACGTTCCGAAGACTAAGAAGTCCTTCTGCAGTGGGAAGGACTGCAAGAAGCACACTCTCCACAAGGTTACCCAATACAAGAAGGGCAAGGACAGTCTCTATGCCCAGGGTAAGAGGCGTTACGACAGGAAGCAATCGGGTTACGGAGGTCAGACCAAGCCCGTCTTTCACAAGAAGGCTAAGACCACCAAGAAGATCGTGCTGAGGTTGCAGTGCCAGGGCTGCAAGCACGTGACTCAACATCCGATCAAGGTTCGAACTTTTTTTATAATCTTTGTCAATTTCCTTCTCATCAACCGTATGTGCACTCTGTGTTATCTCTCCCTCATGTATATTCACTTGTGCAGATTTTTAACTTCCTGTCAGTTGCATTCATTCTCTTGACTGGATGACATTTATGCGCTGGACGTACTCTCACTATATTCCGCCTTTGAATTACACTCCAGTCATTTCACCATTTGGAATCGAGTGGATTGTTGTCATGCATTTGTTAGCATCCCCCAGCAGTGTTGTCAGCAGTTTACCGTTAGTATTCATTAAGTATCAGCTTTTTCCTTGAGTGTATTTTATATTTGGGCATTCATCCCGGTTAGATTCACTCTCTCATCCATCAAAGACTCCGGCACTCTTCCACTTCTCAATCAATCGAATTCTGAAAGTTTAGGTTTATTACGTATTGTCAGGAACCTCCGACAGTACATTTTCCTGTGATCAGTAATTACAAGTGCCCTTTTCAATTTTTTTAACGCATTCCAGCTCAGCGGCGACATGTCGACTATGTTATATAGGTAGCGAGCGCTTATGAGGGTCCTGCCTTTTAGTTTTGTTCATTTTAGTCGTCCTTACCTGGCTATTGGGTTACTGTCCTCCGAAAATTCACTTTGGCCGAGTCGTTCTCGCCCTGTCCGTGCCTTCTGTCGTGAATGTCGTATGTCGCATTGACGTAGTTTCATCGTCGCACTTTTAAAAAACCCATTTCACTCACTTTAATGTAATGAAGAGGTAATAGTTAAGCCCGTTAGATTCTCAATTGCAAAAATGTAAGCGGTTGCCTTTTGTCTGTGCGATGTATTGGAAAGAAACTTAGACGTTTTTTAGCAAATCAACATACCCTGAATATACTGTAACATGTATGCCTTATGTATCTGCGTTCGTTTCCTTGATTGCAGCGATGCAAGCATTTCGAGATTGGAGGAGACAAGAAGGGCAAGGGTACATCTCTGTTTTAGAGACCTAGGTTACCTTCTCTTAGGTAGTGAACACATTACATTTGTCAGGTTCTGTGTTCAATTCTGGAAGGGAGGGCTTTTTGGGATCGTACGTAGGACCTACGGTGAATTGCCCCTCCGTATTACTTCCGACTAGTCTCGATCTGAAGGCTCTTTCGAGTTGCATTTATGGGATGGTCACTGAGAGCAGTGAATGCGTCCTCCGCCCATGCGATTTCCCAGGCTGGATGGTCAAGTAATCACTAGACCTCACTCATTGCCCTCGAGAATTAAGAATACTGAAACGCGGATGTGTAACATCTCGGAACAGTGATTTAATTGAATATTGTTGTTCCCGAGTGAAGTTTTTTAATGATCACCGAATTTTGTGTACTACAGCATATTCGGAGAAAATGAGCTATTTTTACTTCAAATTGATGTGGGTTTGTACCTCAACTGAATGTGGGTCAGATTTGGTCGTAGCAAAAATGATTGGAAAATGCCGACCGAAACTAGGCCTTATGACAGTATTCCACTTTTTGATTGTCCCGCAAATAGTTATTTCTCGTACTATATGAGTTTCTGTTTAGAACTATGTAATATGAACTTGAATTTTTACTGGGGCAAAAGAAGCTAATCTTTGGCTAGAGAAACTCTTCGCAAATGGAGAGGCGGGAGAATAATGAGAAATGATACAATCCAAATTTAGCGAATAGAATATGTCGAATAAAATATATCGAAAATGAAAGATCTTAAACAAAGGTAATAATAAACAAGAAAGTGTGCACTATCAATATATGAAGAAAGAGGTTATGATAGTACGGAAAGTTGAAATAAAACCTAGCAATTGGTTATAACAATGGATATTACCTTCCGGAAAAAAATGTCACACTGAATATAACTATTCTGTTACCCATCCCGAAGGAAAAACATGTATTGCTTATACCGCTGTTGGTAAACAACACCAAAACAACGATGACCGGCATAGTTGAAAATCTGTTTAATTTCGACATATAAGATAGCGAGCAGCTAAACCGCCAACGTGGCGGGAAAGTAAATGGTATTCCGAAATGTTGCTTGTACAGTGCACAAAAGAAGTGAGAAAAAAATAAAATCACACAGTACATTATATATGTCAATGTGAACAAGTCATCGCTACATACGTTGTTCGCTGACAGCAAAATCGTTGGTAATTGCCATGACTGTCAATTTGTTTTATCTCGACATAAAAAATGGTGAGAAAAGCTCGTTCGTACCATTGCCATCGTGGCGTCAAAGAAAAAAGTATTTCGAGATGCCGCATGTACAGTGCACGGGGATATGACTGCATACATCTTCATCACGAATTTATTTTTCAACCTCTTTTGTGCAACCGTACACAATCTGTGAGCAGTAAACTTGCTGTCACTACGGGGGAAAATAACCTACAGCCCCTTAGTTCAACGGCTGATCACGAAGCAAGGTGCGGAAATGATCAGTACCGCATTCGTGTATTCATTCATAAATAATGGTACAGCGGTGTCTCCAGACAACCAACTAACAAACTCTCTGCGCATCAAATCCCCGCACCATGTTTCGCCTTGGACAGTTTTCATGGTTCAGGTGATAAACCTTAGTCACGCCGACCTGTTGCATGCACAAGGAAATTCAGAGGTATATATAAGTGGCTGTTGCTGGATCCAATACTTTCTCTAGGGCTCCTTAGAATAAGGTCGATCGACGCCAGAGAATCATCACCAAGCGGGCCAAAAAAAGACAAAAGCAGATCAATCAGCACATTGCATCGTGATTAGGAGTTGAACATGGGAGACTGAGGGGCAATGCAATGCCCAGACCCTGATCCGCCACTTAAGCAATCAAGTTGAACCATATCTCTCAGGGAAAACATACCTAAGTGTCTAGGGTTCCATTCGTGATGGATTGAACACAACAGATCGTTAATCCAGTTGAGCGGCATCACAAAGTCGCCTCAGTTGAAAATTCCGTCATTTCAATCATTGCAGCATTTTGTTCAGATACTCCGCTTCAGCGGGTTCAAAATAATCTGACAATTCGTGCTTCGATATCCAGGCGAAATCTTCGTATTTCTTGAGGTCAGCCAACGGTAGATCGTTGACTAGCAGTTGAGATTTGAAGAAAAATTTCTGCAGGACGCCAGTCTTCTTCTTCAGAGAGCGGCGGGTCATGATAGACTATGGAAGACAGCAAATGAAGCAAGGCACGCAGTTGGACGGCCAACGACAGAATTCAAGTACGTCCTCGGAACGTTATAATATCAAACACACCATACGACACATTTTTCGGGACAAACAAACTGATGGTAGAATCACGCATATCTAACATTCACTGGAATACGACGGTACCTTAAATGCTGGTGTCTCGGATGGCAGAAAACCACAAGGGGCATTGCCTACGAAATAGACTGACTTCGGTATGTCCTCGACGATAGGGCCCAATGCTAACTCTGCACACTGCAGTTACACATGCTCGAATATAGTAAATGAATAAGATTCAATATCCAGATACGAATGAACGAGTTGAAAGGTACTGAACTCGAATGGACTTCTGCTTCAGAGCTGACACCGAAAAAGCTAAAATCCCGGACAGTCTGCATACCTGCCGCAAACTTGGCTCTTTAGCGTATTCCTTCTCAGGGAAGTGCCAAACAGGTTCGCCCTGCGATTTTCCAAATGGTTTCCCGCGCACGATGAGATAGAGACGTTTCTCGTATGCTCGCTTCAATGACCTGTTTGATAAAAGCGAGCAAATTTAGCGGCCGCGTTTCTTCAGCTTGACTACTCCTACTGACACACTAAGAACTCGCAGAATATTTGCAGATGAAAACTCCGATCGGCCTCAGAATGATCCTATCGGATACTTGCAGCATAAATTTTTTTAAAAAAGACTTAAAACGGGTCGGAACCCACATAGCAAGGACATCTCATCCCCACCAATTTAAAGACCTCGTGACTCTTAAGGATGCAAGCGGAACGGATCCGATATAACTGAGCGCCAGGCATCAGTCACAGGCTTTTTCCAGCACTCCATCATATCTGGACAGGCGGTGGAAACTACTAAGGTCAAAGGGGCCTGGGTAACAGATATTTTCCGGGGACCGATGTAATGGGAAGAGATCGGACAAGACACAAAAGATGGGATCAATCTGCTGGGCCTATACCAAAGTCCTGAGTTTACAGAACGTCACAAAATGTAAGGCTCTGTAACTTCATTTGTCTAGATTCTGTACAAAGTTGTGAAGGAGGAAAAGGAAGCCCTCAGACGATGAAACGAGAGGCAGCTGGCAACTGTTCCCGCTGCTACTCGGATAAACTTGTCCGAGGAAAGATGTCTTCGGCAGGGCAAGGATCGGAACAAGGACACTGACCTCTGATCGTTGGTCTGGTCAGCTTCAGTGATGGTTGGAGCAGGCTCATAAACGCCAATTTCGTCGTCCTCTCCTCTACGAAGAGGTCACAACTCACGATCAGCATCCAAAATCACAATGCTTGAACCAATAGGTAGGCGGAAGAGCTCAGTGCTAGAGAACATGGAAAAGCTTAGAATAGAATTCCGAGCCCAGGTTCTCGATAGTTCACCACTCCAGCTCAATTCGAGAAACCAATTGCAACAAACATGAACTGGATCAAATCTCGCAGTAGGATTCAAAGGCTCCGAGTCTCCCAAACCTGTTGGCAGAGGCATCCAGAAACTCCTGGGGGTAATGGCGACGATACTGCTGTTGCCATTCAAATCTGAGTGATCGGCAGGAAGATCGAGTAAGTTGTCTTAAAGAAATGATTTTCCAACACTGACGCAAAACGCCAGAAGTCCAGAGAAAGCATCGATATCACATCGACTTCCAAAATGTAGTTCAGAGTAGCCGAAAAACGGTAATACGCCACCGATCCAGTCAAGATCCAATGCAAGACACTCACGAGAAAGATTTGAACTCAGAGACGGCAGGCGGAACGGGAGGCAAGACAACAGGGAGCCGTTCCAGCACCACAGCTGCCACAATTTTCTCCTCTGCGCCGCTCGCATCAAGGGCCGCTACTGAAGAGCTCAAACCCCGCCTCGCACCCTTCCAAATCCCGACCACATCCTGCCGCAGGCTTCCTCCCACGAGCCTCCTGGCCGAGGAACCCAGCAATTTCGCCATCTGCTGCTCCGCCACCATCGAAATCAAATCCCCCAACTCGCAAAACCTCGATCCGAATCACTCGATCAAAACCCCACAAGCCAAACCCTCGGACTCGACCACGCCGGACTAACTCAGACAAGCAACGGGCAACACCGACCCCCAAGCCCTACCCACGTCTCGTGTCCACGGAGGGGAATGAGTTCCGTCACCTGTCGCAGGTCAAACATCAATCCCATTTGTGGGCTCCTGTCCCGCTGTGGAACAGCTGGATTCCTTTCACAGGACGCCTCTGCCTCTCATGGAGGCGAGCAAGCAACCAGGCCAACTCCGAGCCACACCCGAGCCACCGGACCGGACCGCTCGGGCCCGCGGCCGACTTACCCTAGAAACCGACGGAAGCCCACCACGGTACAGGCAGTGTCACGTTCACAGGAATGCAGTCGCGCGTGACGATGCCGCAGTAGGCCTCACAACGAAGCCCGTCCACTCCTCTCAGCCGTCACCACGTGGACAACCCGGATTCCCGGGAGACCCCGAAAGAGCCAGCCAGATACCGGCTGTCAGACGGAGAAGCAGAGCACGAGAGCCGAGGACCACAGGCACCTGGAGGTGGAATCCGAGACCGGGGTGTCCTTGGCCCACACGGGGCCGCATCCGAGCCCGCGTCCAGGGAGAGGGAAGCGTATATATACTCGTCGGTCGGCCTCGGAGGCCTGTTTTCCCAACGTCCTCCTCATCTCTCCGCTCCGCCCCACCTCTCCCTTCTCTCTCAGAGTAGAGCACAGCGCTGCACCGCACCTCAACCCCCCAACCTCCCCCTCCCCGCCCCCACCACCCCTACCCGGGGACCATTCTTGGAGCTCGGAGCCCGAGGCGGCCTGCGAGGGGGGCCTTCTTATAAGAGGCGGGGGGAGGCGAAGGTGCGAGAGGGACGGGAGGACGGGGGACGGTCAGTCAGTCGGACACGGACAAACGCCAGCGGCAGCAGTATATATAGAAACGCTCGCACAGACGCGCAGTTGTGGCTAAGCTGTTGAAGCTTTAAAAGGCCGCAGGAGCTCCATTCTTTGCGCTCTCTTGCCACGCCTCAGTGGTGGATAAGTGAAGCCGAGGAAGAAGAAAGTCCGAGAGACGAGAGGGCCGTTGGGTGGTGCTCTCGTGCTCGATCGATTGATTGATCGGGGGTCGATCGAATTGCGGAGTTTGGAGTGACAGCGCCGGGCGGTTTGCCCTTTTTTTTTCTCTGGGACGGTCGCTCGCTCGCGTGCGTGCCCTAGGCTGTGGCGCTGGCTAGTTTCGCGCTCTCTCTGAGGCTTGGGGATTGAACTGGATTGCTGTGAAAGGATCTTGATGTAAAAGGATTGGCGGATTTGTTCCCTGCTTCCTCCTGGTCGAGGAGAAATTATCTGGTGGTTCGATCAGAAGGTCGAAAGAGCAGGGAGGGAAGGGAAGTGGAGGGGAGGGGTTTTACTCTGCTGGTTTTGTGCACGCCAGGGCCGGAGATTCCTACTTCTCGACTTGAAGCGGGTATAGTCGAGACAAGTCTCCTCCACGGACTCCGTGGATTGCGTGCGTGGTCGAGATTGCGGCCTTTTTGCAGCGGAGGCCCCAGTTGTCGTCACTTGATTGTCAATTGCTCACGGCGTGGCCTTAGCCGGAGTGTTCTACTCTTTGCGCGGGGTAATTTGCAATATCTTGTGGCTGTGGCATAAGTTGTTGTGTTCGACTGAGGCCGTTGTAACCTGTCTAATGAGTTGGAACAGCTAGTAATGTCATGGTGCTTGATTGCCCACTCCTCCTCCAAGGGTTGGGCGATGTAGTGCCTGGAATCGCAAACTACCCTGGCTATCATTTGTTCAACTGGGAGCTTGGTTTTACTTTGCCACGAGATTATAATGGAGGTCTGCGTTTCGTATCTTGAGCTGAGGAATTGAGGTTTTCCTAACGGACCAGCCACCTTTACCTCTTGGACCTTCAATGTGTGGATATTACCCTAAGACCCCAATCGCTTGAGAAACCCGGAAGCGTCTCTGTTGCAGGCGCTGTTTCTCATCGTGTTTTTGTGGGTGAAGCCAATCAGTTGTTCCGCCTTTCGTACGACCCTTTTTGATTGTGGATATGTCTCTGCAGAGTCAAGATAACGAATCCGTCGACATCCATGGCAGAGATAAGTCTGGAAGGCAGCCAGCCCGTGGATCTTCTGAAGCATCCTTCCGGCATTATCCCCACCCTCCAGTAAGTATGCATGCGTTTTTTAGTGTCAGCAGTCGCTTAACATGGGTAATGGACAGTGATATCTGCAGTTCAATCTCACTCAACAACCATCTCTAGTTAAGCTCTTGTACTCAGTCGTAGGTCGTGCAGACTTCCCTTCGTCCCTAATGGATGTGGAAGGTGTAACGTGTGACCATTCCCTTCGAGGACACGAGGATTGTTTCAACGCACTATGTCTCTTTTTAAACGTTGTAGGAATGGCCTCAATGAAGACGGTTGGCTGCTCGTGCAGTAACTTATTTGGATGTACATATTTTTCAAACAGGCCTGTCAGTCATACTGGTTTGTATAATATATGCCCATTTTATGCTACGAGCAAGCACTTTATATCTAATGCGAATACTCTGATTGCGCGAGATTCAGTTACAATGTGGAAATTTCTTCATATGAAGTTATTCTAATGGAAAAAGGATAATGGGTTGTACTCACACAGCCGGATCAATCAGGAGATTACCTTCCATACTTAAGTTCTTTCGTCGTGGATCTACATGATTTAGGATCAAGGATTTCGTTAAGGATTACCTGTCATGTCCATGGTTGTACCAGCTCTTTTTGAACAGCACTTGTCGTGCTTTGAGTCTCATCATGGTGTCGAGAAGTAAGCAATATCGTCCGGATTGTTGTGAATCTTTTCTTATTTTCCAAGTTTAGCGTTGCTTGTTACAATCTGAATCGTCCCTAGGCGACTCAAGAACCTCAATAAAGTTTTTTGCTTGTCTATTCCCATAGAATCATTGAGGTTCCTACATACTAAATACTAAATTTCTGTGGTTATGCCAAACCAAAAGCGCATGTGATTGAGCAAGCCTACTGGAGAACTCACAAAGATTCTTATACTCTCAGTTCGGTGTGGAGACTGACTTCAATATGTTACTTGTCCATGTCATTCTTAATCAGTCTTGCATATGTGACACATTCTTTAAGGTGGCGCTGTTGAGATTGTAGGTCATGGGTCGCTTCAGTGAGAAGCGTATATTGGTATCTTTTGTAGGTTATTGCACAGCTTTACATAGACATTTTTTTGTGTGATTGCCATGTAGTCATGGGCTTCAGGAATATCACCAACGATAGTGAGCTGTACCTTTCCTGCAATTTGTTCAGTGTGTTATGTCTCCGAAGTAAGGTTGTGGTTACTCGACGTGTGGCCTACTTCTTAATATCTCAAACCCCGTGACGCTGTACTTTTCAAGCTTCTTGCAATCCAGTCTTTTTTCAAGCATGCGACCAGTTTCAAGTTGAATCCTTCACTTCCACGGATCAATTTATAACTAAGAGGATAGCAACAACTCTTCTGAAGATGAATAGTTATTGTTGCTTGCCAAAGACGACAGTCGTGCGAATGTTATACCCTTTTACAGTATCTAGGGTGGATACCATCATTCCGTATGACGCAGATTTAAATTCACGTATGCGGGTGGTTTCGTGCATTTAGCACTTGATGTGATCTACTCTGTAAGATTTAGAAGAGATCAATCTGGAATAGTGTAATCAACACGCTCCAGCCATTCAGAGTTTCAGTTTGGTGGAAGAATATGGGACTAGCAGCTTGTTAGATCACAAGCCTTCCTTCCGGAAGATGAAGCCGTACCTGGGCTGATGTAAGGAGTTGCATGTGTCAGGAATGTTGTCTCTACCGTCAACATGGATTGCAAGTTGGAGCTGAAAACAATAGCTTTGCACGCTCGTAATGCCGAGTACAATCCAAAGGTTTGTTACTCGAGGTGGTCAGTTCAACTTGGTTTTGAACTTGTGGTGATCTAGTTTGAAATATTTTTGGAGGATTCAGCAGCCTCTAAGTTACTTCAAACTGATGAGATGAAATGTGGATGCCCTATGGAGACAGCGTTTTGCCGCTGTCATTATGAGGATAAGGGAGCCTAAGACGACAGCTCTTATTTTCGCCTCAGGGAAGATGGTACGGATGATATGTACACATATTTCAGATACTTTGTATATCAGCAGTATCGTGAGCAGTAAATTTCGTGACTTTGACAGTCGCAAGTGTAGGCTGTTCATATGTTCTGGTTCGTCATCCGGTCTCAAACGTGGGATGGTGGGGTTCAGGTTTGCACTGGTGCTAAGAGTGAGCAGCAGTCGAAGCTTGCTGCAAGAAAGGTGTGATAAATTTTTGCTCATTTGAAGATTGTGAAGGAAGTTTTCATTTCTTGGGAGGTTCCTCAGCTGGTTTTTCGAGTATTAACCCCGATATTGCCATTGAGGCTGCAGTATGCGAGAATCATCCAGAAGCTTGGATTTCCTGCACAATTTAAGGTATTTTGTCCGGGCTCCACGTCCCGGTTCTCTGGGACAAACCCTGTTGTAAATATGAGTTCGCCTTTGAGAGCTATTTGGGATAGGACTTTCATTGTGAAATGTCATGTTCTTATTGTTAGTATTTATGTCCAATGTTCAGGCTTTATTCAGCTACATATCTTCGCCTTAGGATGTACGTAGGGTAAGATTGTATATAGAAGAATGATAGTTTTTTTCACTTGGTAGATGTACATGGCAACGTAGGAATGTCTCCTTGGATTCTTTTTGTAACGACCAGTCACGTGTTTTATTGGCGAATTTTTGATGAATATCTAGAGTGTTAGCCGCGAAAGTAAGCCTGGTTGAAGATTCAGTAGCACTTTTAACAAACAATCGGCATTCACATTTGCAGGATTTCAAGATTCAGAATATTGTCGCCTCTTGCGATGTTAAGTTTCCGATTAGACTGGAAGGTTTGGCATATGCTCACGGACACTTTTCCAGCGTGAGTGATCCGGATGCCTTCAATTGTTGTTGCTTTTCGTTGTGAACACTTTTAGCGTTTCCGGGATTTACTGGGTCTTCGAGTTCTGACTGGGCGTTCTAATTGCTATCTAGGATTACCGGGGGAAATAGTGTGGCTACCGTTTTGTCTAGATTATATAGTTGCACTGTCATTCCTTATCGCAGGCAGTGGGGCGTGTGATTTACTGTAGATGCTTGTCAAACATCATCTCGGATATCCATATACGGAGTTAATGCCATTGACGCTCACATAATCTTGTTAGCTGGCATGAAAGTGCTTTCATTGTTAATCAGTTACCTATCCTTGACGTTACCTAATATGTTACGTTTAAGTGACCTCATATATACCTTTTTGTTAAGGCTGATTGTGGCTATTAATTTTCTGTCTCGTCTCGTGCAGTATGAACCCGAGTTGTTTCCTGGTTTGATTTATCGTATGAAGCAGCCGAAGATTGTTCTTCTCATCTTTGTGTCAGGGAAGATTGTCCTGACTGGTGCTAAGGTATCGTTTCGTGTGCTTCTCCCACATGTTGCTTTTGTTATAACCTTCGTGTCAAGGGCGCCTCAGCACTCTTCCGCTGTACGCGTCAAGTACTCTTAGCACTTCCTGACTGCGTATATTTGCGCAGGTGAGAGACGAAATTTACGAGGCTTTTGAGAACATTTATCCTGTGTTGTCCGAGTTCAGAAAGGTCCAGCACTGGTGAGCATTTCTTTAGCACCGTCCTCTTGAATGTACTGTACTTGTTTAAGGTTGTTCTTGGGGTATGTATCAAGACAGAAAATTACAACTGTAGCATATGCCTATAGCAGTTCGGAACTTTGTGCCCAGCTCTAACCCAGAATGTTTTCATGTGACAGATCTTCGCTCTCAGGAACTTTCCAAGCATGTGTCTTGGAAAAGGTAAAGCAATCTTGAGGACTTTCCAGTCCAGTATCTGTTCGGAGTGGCAGAAGGTGATACGCCAGGTTTCGACTTGTATACGTCTCCAGGCTACATCGTGGCTAAGGAAAAATCATTGAAGCGCTGACACCATGCCCTAGGGGATTCTATTTGATCTGACATTGGATCTCATATGCAGAATAGCTCATCGATTTTCCATGTCTGCATGTGTCGTTGGTGCGATGGAAGCTTCCGACTCCAATGCATGAAAGAAAACTACATGGCAAAAACTACATGGCAAATGTAGATGAGTTCCGCACATCCGCAGGATTGAACTGAAAAGGAGTGTCTTCCTGGTCTTTTACCATTCCTCCTAGATGTACAAATGAAGAGATAATGTAGAGACGACAGAAGAGGTTAGGCAGCCAGACACGTGAGGTTGGTAGGCCAGATGACATCAGGTTTTCAAATGTTTTTTAGTTTGAGCTTAGTAAGTCATCAATCCTGCCTTCCTCATTATTTTTTCTCCTGTCAAATTTTGATGGATTGATACCTTGGTGTGTTAATATCGGAGGATAAGCCTTGGACCTTGGCTGCTTCTGATATTCCTGTACAATCGTTACTTTTACAAGAATGAACGGTTCTCGAAGCCGTGTGAGCACTTTCTGCAGTCAAGTAGACTCAAGTTTCAAATCTCCTCCTGTTTGTGCACTTTCTGCCATGTTTTGAGGACGTACTTCACTGACAATTTGATTCCCCACAACTAAGTGGATTGAAGTCCATCTAAAGTTCTACGAGAACGTTTCCACAGTTATTATGCACACTTCTTCCATGACCTACCAAGCACACCAATTCCAGAGAAGGTACGGAGCAACAGTCTGTTCACGTTCACGACTTCAGGCCCCTCCTTCGGAGTCATGACTGAACACCAGTAGGTGGATACACCTTTCACCTGCAAACTGCAGTTAATGCATACACCTTAATGTACACTGATCGTCAGCTAAGCCATCCGTATCTACAGCCGATCAGTGAAAGCATGTGACTATTTACTTCCGTGTGGGAAACTCAATCCTTGTCTCACAACACTGATGTTTATCCTGCGTATGTTTTGCTCTCGGCAAATCATACAGAACAAATCACTCACACATTGCTGAGCATATCTCAGTGTTGACAATAAGGTATGTTCTTGAGGATAAGTCAAACACTATACAGAAGATAATGCCATAATCTTAAGAATGGGACCTGTTGGTTCACTGGTATCGATCCACACCTGGGTTGGTTTTGTCACCTATCTAAACCGTTAGCCACACCTTTCGGCAAGCTTACATGTGCAAGACGGCCGAGAGGGCCATGAGATGGAAGACGACGGTGCCCAGAGCCTCCACTTGTACCGGAGAGTGGACCTAAGCAACGCTTTTAAACAAGTTGCAGTGGAGGGCTTGCACTTTCGTGACGAAAAGGCTCATAACGTTCGACGGGCAAAGCGTCCCTCCAACATCCTCTGCCATCGTGGACAAGCTATTTTGGACGAATGGTTTCCAATGGGCTCCATGGCGGGGACAAGTACCTCTTTATTGGCACATGGATGTCCCATGCTGTGCCTCCTCCGATATCTCAAGGATGCGCGCCACTCCCTTCTTCCACTGCCACTGCTCACTTTGCGTACGTGTCGATGCTTCAGATCCAAGGCCGGACTTTAGGGTTTGGACTGTTCATCCATTTTCCTGGGCTCCTTAAATTCTTTCTCTACTTTGTTTTTTCTGCTTGCGTCCTCATCGCGTGACTTGTGGAACTTTACTGTCTCCAGCACTCTCGACCGATTGCCGCCAACTGTAAACATGTGGTGTGACTTATTTTTCGTTTGTTCATCTCTATACACCGCATTTGTACATCCGGTCGGATGTGCTTCGATATATACGAAGGAAACTCCGCGAATTTGACAACTCAAGGAATACGTACAAAGTATAACTTGTTATTCCATCTTCGATTCCAAGATATATGTACTGAATATGATCCCACCCAGTGGATTTTTTGATCACTTTACAGCCTTCGATAACATCGATATCCGTCACGTTCTTGCAGTTTGCTGATCAGACTTGCGTTACCGGTGTCTCTTTCAGCTGCTGGGAGGGTTACACCTATTCTCACGAGCAGATTTGTCGCAGATTTCGGGATCCATTACTGAGTTTGTGGGCAGACTGAGGCACCCTTTCGAGAGTTTTGGTGTCGACATTAGATCTTGTGTGCAACGTTTTTGTACATGCGGGGTATCGCTCGAGGAGCAATGTTGCCGGTAGCGATGTATTAGGGTTCGCCCTATAAGTTGAGCTGTTTAGTGCACTATTTTGCAAATCGGGTTGAGGATATTTTCATCCAGATGCGGGTGCCAGAGGTGGAGAGATGGTGGTCTACTAGTCTGAAGATCCGGATCACGAGGTCGGGCAATCTCTTCTTGATTTCAGGCGATACAAAGTATAGCAGATTGATAATAGTCAATGCCAAGTTGACGATCGTTTCAAAGGGAGGATTGAGCAGGATGGTGCTTTTAGGGCTAGCATTTAAGTGACCGACATTGCCGCCGCTGCGGCCAGTCGCAGACATCGTCCACCCCATATTCACAAAGCCTCTGCGTACTGAGACGTAGAAACTTGACGAGCCCTTTCTGACACATGCAATCTCTTAAAGAAAATGGCCTCGTTCTTCATAAAGTCCTACCTGAACTCTGTACCACGAACTACACGGACCCACTCCGGAGCCGGAAGAGGAGCATTCTGCCTCCTTTGAAACACGGCGAATGGTCACAAGCTCATTCCCAGGTCCAATTAAGCAGAGGTAATAGCATCCGGTATACAAGTCACCGTCCATAGTTTAGAACAAAAGAGAAATTTGCCCACCAGACGATGAAAATGAGCTGAGAAGCCGACATCCACAAATGGATGGCATGTTTTTAGGAGACATCAGAGCTTGCTGTTGATGTAGTAGGTCTTCGGAGGGTGTGCAAGGTCTGATTTGGTTGCAGTGTAGCGCGTCAGTTGCTAGTGGGCACGGTTTTCCCAATCCAGGGACTGCAGTCTTGGTCCTTGCACCTGTGCCATCTCCTTAGCTTCTTTGTGCATCATGTACACTCCTTGCACAAGGTGTGCGAGAGTCAGGCGCTTCTTCTTCGTTCGTGCAGCTTACGCTTGAAGGAAGCATCCCAGTATTCTCAATAACTAACCCGATGCGACCACAAACCCAAAGGAGGAGGATTTTGGCAATCCGTGGCAGGCCGAAAAACGAGTTTTTAAAGTCCATGTGCTCTGAGAGGAAAGTTCTTGAAATGAGGTACAGGTATAATAGCAAAAAGTTATGAAAGGTACATGTAGAAAAAAGAGACAAGATATATCTGTAGAGTTCAGTATTATTCCAAAGTGAGATATATCACTTTTTAAAAATATACTTTTGAAAAAAACATCAATCAACTTGATTGATAGCTTATATTTTGCCCCCAATTTTTTCCTACTTTGAATAACGTTATGAAATCAATACCATGCAATAAACGAAAAAGAATCACATCATTAAATCTGATTTGAACAATATAGAGCATATCAAGTCTAATTTCAACACATAACTGTAAACGTAACATGACCCAAAGTTCTTCACAACCTATTGTTAGATATCTATCAAGTTCATCATCATTTTGAGTCCACATAATACCACAATATGTGTATAATAATTAATGAAAATCTATAATGAACCGTAATAAATATAGGTATTCTTGGAGTCTGTGGAACATGTGAAATTCCATGAATAGCCACACCGTTGCTAGATAGTAACAACCTCGCGTTGAAGGGGGCATATTTTAACCTCTGCACTCAATCAAAACATTGCGAACTTAACCAGTAGTTGCTTATCACATCTCAGATCTGAGATGTGGATTTCAGCTGTACTTTACTTGGTCATGAACGATATTCAGAAGCCAAACAACTGGAGACAGCCTAGACCAAGATCTCAATCGTGCAGACTGTCATCAAAGTATGTTTGTAGGGGTCTAGATCCGAGAACTGCTGGACCTCAGCGTCTTTCGTCGATTATACTAGAAATATTTGGAAAACTACAGATCCTGGAAATCTTGGCTCAAATCCTTTGTATCGAACACCCAATCGCCGATCGAGAGTAGATAGATTACTTCCTTGGCTGAGGGAGCTGGAACACCAGAGAAACATCATCAGACCTCAATATCAGGACTCCTAAACCGTTACAAAACAAAATACAGGACAAGTTTGCCCGATGCCAATCATGGACACCACAGGTGTGCACGTGAGTCTGTGCACGTGATAGACTAAGTTGTGCCTCTTGCCAAGCTTGGAGTGAAATTTACCATTTGATGAATTCTCCTGAGGTTTTTGGAGGGAACCACGAGCATATTTTCTCAAAAGCTTATGTTCAAAACACTTGAGGAGAGCAGACTATGATTCCAATGCACCCGCGTGATAGTCATGACGGAAAGCCGTCCACTTGCCAGTGTTCATGATCGTGTTACAGAAAGTTTTCTACAGCTGTGGGCCAACCCGCACAAGCGTCCATAAGCTTTAAGTCCCAACAGAACCGTCACAAGTCTCTTGGCATACAGCTCAAGAGATCGAAAAAAATCAGATTCTGCATCTGAAAGGTCTAAAACATGGCCTGCTCTCCAGGTGAGCATTACTTTTATTTACATGTATATTATTTACATTTGCAAATGTTTTAATGAATAAGCAAATGAGCACCTCTCGAAGCGCATTAAAGTCATCCACCCCAACGATCCCGGAGGGACAGTCTCAGCGCGTTTGCTCGAAGGGTCTTTCAGAGTACATTGGAAGAGGACCTTTAATACTCGAACTCTTCCTGATGCAGATAAGGTCCAAACAACAAACCAATTCATCATCACTGTAGGAACATTCGCTCCAACTCGCTCTGTCCCTGTTTTTTGAAGAGCCAGCGACTCTTCGATTCTGCCCCTCGTCTACGTGCAGTAGCCAGTGGTGTAAGTCTCAACGAGGACGGTGTATAGCAATGGGTAGGTAGGCATTTGTCGACAGATTCTAGTCGTGGAGTCAATGCTCGTACCCCGATCCGAATGTGAACGCAATACGCATATCGCATTGCCGTAGAACTTCTGCTATCATCGTTCTCAAAATCTTCTTCTGCTATCAAACAACGGGGCCGCTACTGCCATTCTGATTCGGGGCAATGCATCTGATCATAACTCAAACCGTGAAGATTGGATCTCTTACCGAAGACAAGACAATTGTCGAGGAGATGGGTGAACGAGAAGATCATAATGAGGACCAAAACTATATTTACAAAAACTTGGGCCTGCAATCAGCTCCAAGGGAGCTTCATATTCATGCACCCCATCCCGGAGGAACATCCTGGACCGGCCAGTTGAACTACCAAGGAGCACATATATCGTGTGACATTGAGGAGACACAAGCTCGGGGGCACATGTCTCACCACAAAGTGAACGGACCTGACAGAGTACACCGCATCGATCAAACTCAAGCTCGCCGTCAGCAGCGAGCTGATTCCAGCGGCTGCTTCAATTGGTCCACTGTTTACTTGGACTCTCCCCGCTCAACGACCATGTGAGGAGGAGAGGCCATCCAGTTCTTCAAAATGTGAGCCTCGAGCGGATTCATCCAGCAGGAGGTTGTGTGCAGGCACAGCGTGGTCACTGGGATCAAATGGAAAGTCCATGCGCAGCCGAAAACGAGACGAGTACTTCTTCCAATAGTATTTACCGGTGTTGACGAGTAATTACTGTAGCAAACACTCTGATGTTATTTACTGGAATTAAAATGTATACTAACAGCAAATTGCACTGACGAAAGAAAATGGCATACTCAACTTTCATCAGTCCAGAAACAAGATTCACGTTTACTTCTTTGGCAACTTCCTGTAACTGCTAACGTTCCTCTTAAGACAATTAGAACTCAAACTCTGCTACGATACTGAGACGTGCTGTGCAATTGCCCCTCACTTGTGTATAGGAACCACTGAGGGGGTTACTGTTCAAGTTATGAGAAGGTTATATCCATAAAAAGATAATATCGTTTTTGAGTAAAATTTCGTATTATAATGAATCTAACGCAATGTCATGTGAAGAATCGACAGTACCTATTAATACTTCGAACTTCTTAGCCAATATTCAATCAATGTCACGAGAACGTAACGATGTTAAAGCTCTGCTATGATATCAAGGATTGGCTGCTATTTTGTTCGAGAGCTTTTATCTCTTCGCTTCTGACTCGATCGAACGTAGAATTCTGATATAATACTTAGCTTTTAGCACATGCTATCGGAGAATTGTTAGAAATTAGAAAACCAGGCATCAGCCGGATATTATGCGTTAGATAGTTAGAAATATGTACACAATTCCAGGGCAGTACAGTTGCTATTTTGACTCTTGTCACCGGAGCACGAGGAATGTCATCAGACGAAGCCTGGAGATAATGTTTATCAAGTTTAATAATCAATAATACAATGTAAGTGATTATTATTCGTTAATCCAGAATGATGCAGCGGACTGTATGCAGTGCACACAGGCCAGACACAGCAAATTCTTGTCCTGTGCAGAGCAGTAGCTCAGACTGGAGGTGGACTGATTAGAATTCTCAAACCATCGATGTTGTGCAGTTGAAATATCATCTGCTCATTGTGTTGGCTTGCTGAAAGCCTTATGTCTCAGTGACACATTCTTCACTGACCGCCATATTTGAACACGATTGATATATCAGAATGGCAGTGTATTATACGAGCAGTTGGACATGGCATTGCTGATTATAATTCTTCGGATTATAGATTCTCAAATCCTTCTGATTTGAGAATTTTGGATAACAAAGTAGCCGACTGCTTTCCATACAACGTCGACACAATTATCCGTTTCTTACTTTTCACAACTATGAGTCATGAGCTTTGAATAGTACTTCAATTCCACCGATAAATGACTTGTCATTCACACGTATCAAGATATGTGTATTTACAATATGCCAGGCACTAGGTGTGCTTGATACCTATGCTTTACTTTATACTCGGTCTGCCATATACCAAGACAATTCGGATCAGTATGATCATTTCAAGCACATAGTTTATATTCTAGATCATACATTTTCTGAGCTCTCATGGAGAGCCCATTATGGATGCAGCTGGTCGGAAAATCAAGTCCTTATAATTACTACCAAAGGAATCTGGTACAGTAGATTTGAATATATCCAAAGCAGCAGCCGCTATGTTTTTCGACCTCCTTTCAAAGTGTTCAACTTTTTGATAAATCCTGTGAGTACGATAGGCCCCGTACTCGGTCTGCAATTGATCGTTCACGACTTTCCGGTGATGGCAATCGGACGATTGCTGAACGAGTTAGAAGGAGAATTTTTTCCACGAGGACCTCGCTTTAGTTTGTAATCTCGGCTCACAAGTTATCAAAAACTTTGGTTTATGCTCATCATCCCGCGTTACAAAATTGGCACAAAGGACCACAACCATGGAGACAAAGGACATGATGTGAAGGAATTCCATGCTTTGAGGAGAGAGCATCCCTTTGGCAGTCTGATGCAAGCCTGATACATTGATATCGTCAATAAGCAACCTCGAGTCCCTCCCAACCACCTTGCCTCAGCCGTGTGAATCTATCTGGGGAACGGGGTTTTAGCCGAAGGCTGAGACCACGAATCTTAGTGACCACCGAGTTTCATTCAAACAGAGCACACTCCGACCCTTCAAATCTCGAGCCTAACTACAGGAAGGTCGTAATGATTAAACCCCTGGGCAGGAGGTGCTCACGTCGGGCTCCAGCCCCACTGCTGAACGCCATTCTCGGAAAATTCGAGGATTCGAGGAACCCCCAATCGTCTGGAAATATCCACTTGCGTGGAGTTCGAAAGTCACACATGGCAGCAGGAGGAGGAATGCCAGAAGGATTGTGCACTTGGGACGCATCGTCTCGTAAGCTCTCGACTTTTGTATGAACGAGTCGGCGGGAAACGACTCGTTTACATCGTCTGTCGTGATGGGTTGCAATTCGGATCGGGCAGTGTAGTCGGTGGAATTCTGCAGAAAGGAGATCGGTCCTCGCCCGCCCCTCATAAAATAACGGCGTTCGAGAGGTGTAGGTAAGCTTTTTCCGCTGGATTTACATGAGACTGGCGAAGTTGATGCGCGGAGCAGTGTCTGCTCACCTCGATGGCGCTTGATAGATCGACAATAGAATCCATGAGTTTGCTGGCTACTGCCGAGTCAGTGGGTTCTGTAGTCAGGAGAGCCACGCTCGAGAGGAGGAAATTATCCGAAGGCTTTATCAAGGTTCCTTCCCAGTCCGGGTGAGTTCAACATTTAACATCGAATTGAATATTATAAAACGGACTCCGCCGCGGGATGCTCGTGCTCATGATCACTTACTTTCTTCACTCTCTCCTTGTATCTCTAAAGTGGCTCGACCCTGACTTGCATCCAAACTTCCCTTGTCTGTTTTCCTCGAGAGTCGAGGAGCCGCTCAAAGATCGACTTTGGAACACTTTTCCAACACATCGACAGCTGTCTGCGGACCTCTCCTGTCGGGTTCTCAGTGTACGAAGTCTAATGCCATTCTTTCGCCAGCAGGCAGTTGAATCCTTATCGGATTCTTGAGTAGATCTGTCCAGTGGCCCACTACCCTAACTCCTCAAGTATGTCATGTTCGTCCGGTGAGCAGACGCTATAGATATGACGATTCTCTAACTCCTCTCGGCTGGATTCAAGTATGGTTCGGTCCCAGACATTCTTAGCTCTTCATGGCTCAGGAGAGGAATTAATAAAAGAACTGAGGAGTTCGAGAAAATTCTTTAGGTCTGGTATTTTCTTCACATATGGGACAGTGCAATGCTGAAAGGTTCAGGGATTGCCGCGATCTCCTAATGCATGATTTTGCAGTTCACCCCAAACAAAATGACCTTAACCGTACTGGGAAGTTTCAAGCATTGGGCTCTGCGAATGTCCATTCAGCACAAGGAGACACAGCGCAGAGCACTGACGAGCTGTCCCTCTTTTCGCCTTCGCTCGTCTAGGTATGCAATTCCTGTGAGCAGTTCGAGCGGCCATGAGGTACTTTGGAAAGCGGTTAGACCAAAAGAAACATGGACACGTCCTGTGGCCGCGACTTCGCAACTCGGTCTTGACCGCTCGGCGGACATTCAAGCGGTTCGTGAACTGATTTCGCCCGAAGGCTGTAGCTCCCAGAGCAACGACAAGAAAAGACATGCGGTACAGAAAAAGCCGAAGGCAGGCGTCAAGCTCAAATAAGAGTGTAATGGCTCAGGATTCCACTGGCAACCACAAAACTATTTCAAGATTCTCTCGGCTAAACTTGGAAACAGGGGGACAGAATGTTGCAACATCTGCTGCGTGCGAAGAAGAGACCCTTCTCTTCGTGAACATGGATGCCGAAGAAGCTCACCACTTTATCACTTGCGGTTGTCGGCACTGGGGCCATAGGCACTCTTGCCGTGACGCTTAGTGAAATGATTTCATGGAACCTGATTCATCCTCATTGATCGTTCTGTTCTTAAGACTTCATCAATTACACAAACTTCAGTTCCTGCGAATTGCACATGGTTCACTGAAACCAATGCTCCCGTCCCATGAATCTCACGTTTTTCGATAAATAAGATGTCCTGTTTTGCATGCTGGACATCAAAGCAAGCAGCACAATTCAGGAGTGAGTACACCTTGTGTCATGATGGCACGTACAATGAAGGAGAGAGCATCTGTCAAGTCCCAGATTGCTTCCTGCTCTCTTCATAAATCTGGGAATAATAACGACCAATGGGAGTTGTCGATACGTCGGAGCTGATACGTTTTCCAGATAGGATTGGGAATTTCGGCTAGTCGAATGTTACTTCAAAATGTGGATTGATAATCAATATGCAGACGTCTTTAAATATCGGAGAATAGATCTGAGAGTCACATAATCTTTGCCAGTTTCTATCCTCGTCGATCGTCGTGTCACGCTCCGATCGTGAAGTACAGTGGTCGATGAGCAAGAGCAAAGACGGAAAGAACGTGCACAGGAGGACACAGCGGGAGGAAACCCTGAGACAGAGGAGGACCTTGACCGAAGGACGAACACGGGCAATGCGGCGATGATCCTGCAGGAATTGGAGTCTCTCGGTTGGGGCTGCATATGCCATCGACACTTTCTTCGTTGTTCCGGTCAACACCTTCCAAATGCATCTGGCTATTGCGAAGGCCATTCCACATCTGTCCACATCAAGTCCATGCTTTGGAGGTCCACATTCGATCACGGGCACGAGGGAGAAGGTTAGATCCGGTTCTTCACGTATTATAATATATTCGCATATGTTTTTTATATTCTATACTTTATATATCTTCACACTAATTTATATGAACCATGGGGAGTGCACACAGATTTGAATTAAATTCTATTCATTTGCAATTATGGTTGTATTGTACGAGTTATATTTTATTCCGAGAGTTGTAATTGATATTTCCTTGACTTGATTCAGAGTTTGTTTCAATCTTAATATGTTCTGGTGCATGTATTTGTATTGGGAACTAGGGGAAAAGTGATACGCGTTTTCGGATATTAAGCAATTAACATATTCACATGTCAGGGAGGGTGTCCCAAGGTTGGTTGTGTTTTGCAAACGTAATTTATAAAGGAGTGCCAAAGGATATTCTCACTTTTCTGCAATCCTTAGTTTTCACATTCTCTCATGGAGCTTCATAGATTGGTCCTGGAATTATCAACACTATGACATGAGTAGCTGAACCTCGTCCATAACTTGCAAATGCAAAGATTTAAGTGAGAAAGATAATTCAACCCCTTGAATGTATGCTTTATAAGATGCTAATTAATATAGTAGTTTGAAATATTGGATTATCATGATCCAATTTTCAGATGAATAATCTAAATTATTTTTTTACAGGGCTTTTTGAGACTAGTTTTTTGTGCCCACCTTATTCATTAGATTCACTCCTCACATCCATCCACATCATTGAAGTTAGATGTTTCATGAACGTAAAGTTATTTTTGTTTTTTCCACAACGATGTCTACAATATAGGTACACATAGGGTATGTGTCAACTAGACATTATGAAAATCTGTGCAAGAGATCGTCCCTATAGTGCATGAAGAGTTCATTAGGACCATATAGCCAGAAAGTGATTCTAAGCCACCTAGTAATCATCATTTATCTTGATTGCTAAGAACTATATCAGGTTGGAGGAGTCTTCATCATTTATATATGATTAATACTGATGATGGAGTCATTTATTGCGTGAATGAGTTAATATATTCTATCAAAGTTGTTGTAAAAACAGCTAGAGTAGTCATAATGTCTTCATATTCAATTTTTTCATTAATACATAATATCTCATATGTCTTTATTGAAATAAAACACTTACAATCATGAAAGAATGGATTGTTTTGTTGATAAATTTTAAACACTTTTATTGATGCTCTATGTTGATCCAACTCTAAAATAGCTGAAGAGATTGAGAATCTAAACATTGAATCTTTAACAAATTCTCTTGCAAATTTTTTATCCATCTTTATTGGGAATTTTCAATTTGCAAATTGTTCATCATTCTTCATCATTAACAAATATGTTCATGTCATTGGATATGTAGATCATTTTTTTCTACTCTAGCGTTGCAATTATATTAGACTAAGATGACATCAGCATTTTATAGTGAACTGATTAGCGAGAATATATCTCAGCAGATGATATGCTGCATGTTCCATTGTTGTATAGAAAGCATACACTATAACACAAGAAAGGGATCAAGGGGGTAGGAAAAACTTGAAAATCTCCAAAAAGTCCGTACACAGAAAACCAACTGGAATCATATTACATTGGGTTAGACGGCCAAACCGACGACACTGCACTAGCTTTAGATGATTTTTTATTATAACCTGACTCAGTTAGATAGTTTGAAGATAATTACTTCAGTTGTACTACTCAGCTAATTGGGGCATCCCAGTGAGAAAGTTGTGTTAATCGGGTAACATGGGGTTATGCTCCATGTTTGGTTTCACCCAAGTGCGTCACCATGGATTCTGAAGACGCCGGGAACAGATGCTGCAACGGGAGCAAGACTTTACGGCGATCGCCAACTTCGTCCGTCCGTCCTCGCTGCTCATCAACCAAGTTCATCGCCAAGGCCAATGGCATCGCATCCACCGTGATCCTCCCGCAGAATGAGACTTCAACGTGCTCTCGAATACAGTCGGAGATACTCCCTCGCAAGGACGGCGCATGCTATCGACACAAGTTGGGAGTCTGAAGCTCACTGTCCGCCGGCGTTTTCGGTTTGTCTCTCACGCTTTCCGGCAAGACGACGCAACGTGCAATGTAAAACATGAACTTTGCGGCCGTAGGAGATCAGTCTAAGACTGATCTTAGAAGTTCCTGTTGTATCGTACATCCTTTGAAATCGCATGTATTGATTGAGGTGCAATTTGATGAACTTATGATAGCGAAGGATTTTGCGGTTATTCCGATGTTACCCATTGGTTTATCGACGTGAAAGTTCATGTGTCTATCCATCATCTCTCTGTATCGTTGTTTCGCCTTGGACTGTACTTTACTACTTCGGGATGGGGGGGGGGCGGAGTAAACGTTCTGGGAAGAGGACACCTCGCTTTCTGGTGGCAGAGCAGTTGGGAGGGGGACCTTGAGGCCGGCCGCACGAGCCCATGAGCCCATGAGCCCCGGATCAGGCCGGGTTAGGGGGGGATGTGCAGATGTTCTCTCGGGCAGAAGTAGAAGGAGGAGGAGAAGGAGGAGGGAGACTGTGGGAGGAGGAGGAGTGTGTCCAACGTGGTGGAGGGAAGAAGTCGGAGAGGGACTCAAGGACTGCTGTTTTAGTGGAGGCTGCTGCTCTGGAGATGCGAGCTTCGGGGCATGATGGAGGAGAGGCGGGGGGATCTACTGGGGACAGCGCTAAAATGGGCTCTGGAGAGATGAATATCGGGCTACCATAATATTGTTCTGCCTAGAGCCTAGACTCGGCAAGAGAAGAGGGCAGGGCAGGGCAGGACAGGACAAAGTCGGTCGCCAGTGGATGTACGTATTCTATCTGGAGCAAGTGCTTTTCAGTACATGTCAGTTGCATTTCTTGCATCTTCTGTTGAGGTGCGAACCGAATCCAAAGTAGCTCACTCGACGAGTGACGACGACTCTGAGGCTGGAGGGGGTGGAGTGAGGCCAATTTTGTTTTGGCCCACTTCGCACTTTCTCCATGGTTTTTGTAACAGGCGAGGTCTGCGTTGCTTGATAAGCTGAGAAGCCGATTGGTGGTCCGTGGAGACTTGACACTGGGACGAGGGATTGGCAGTTCGAGCAATCAATCGCTGATTGCTGTTGGAGCGAGGACGAATCGGAGCTTTGCACGGTTTCATAATGGCGAAGCTCCGTGAGACATACGCTCCCATGCCCACTACCGAGAGGGGTAGTGGGATTCTGATCTCTGGAGATCCCAAGTCTAATTACATTGCTTACGCAAATGGACGATCCGTGCTACTCAGGAGCCTAGTCAACCCGCTGGAGGTGGATGTGTACGGAGACCACGGATATAATGTGACAGTGGCCAGAATTTCGCCCAGTGGGCAGTGGGTTGCTTCAGGGGATGTTTCTGGTACTGTGAGAATCTGGGCCAGGGGAAACGATCACATTTTAAGATTTGAGATCAAGGCTCTCTCTGGAAGGATTGACGATCTGCAGTGGTCGGACGATGGAGAGCGCATTGCGGTCTGTGGTGATGGGAAGGGAAAAACTTTTTTGCGAGCTTTCATGTGAGTATGTCAGTCCCTATCCTTCCAACCCTGCATCTCTTTGGCAAATTTGCACCCTCTGCCTCATGATCTAGCCTTCTCGCAGGTGAGATGTACTCGCTGAATCGGAACTTAGCGATGACCAAAGTTCTTCCCTGTTTTGATTACTGAATGGACTTCAGACTAATTGGAAGTTGCAATTCACAAGATGCAAAATGTTGAATTTGATTCTTTAAAGGCGCGAACACAACTAGCAAATCATGCTAAATTCATTCACCAAACCATCCCTCGCTTTCGTTTTTCAGCTGTTTGTCAGCTGTCCCAGTATCTCAAGTACGTACAGTTAACTGGAAAGATCGTACAGTTATATCAACGCAGCTCGATTATATATCCGAGAAGGTTTTGAGTGCCAAGGACCAGATTCCCTTCAACTGTAGTAACAATTGCCCAAGATATGGCGATATCTCTGAAATAGGAGTTGAGTTCAAAGTATTTGAACAGAGTTCTATTGCCCACTTCTTCCGTTAGAGAATCACATGTTTTCAATAGGCATGCTTGTGAAGTGGTGCTTTAGTTGAAGTGGTGCTTTATCGAAGTGAACATGTGTAAGAAGAGGACAATGCTTTCGGCCTGGATCGGCGTCCGAATGATGTTGAGTTTAAGCGGTTGACGAATCGTTGTATTTTTCTCGCATGTTGGCTTATGAATTCTCTGTTTGCTCTAGGTGGGATTCCGGATCCAATGTCGGGGAGTTTGATGGCCATTCCAAGCGTGTCTTGTCCTGCTCTTTTAAACCAACCCGACCCTTCCGCATTGCGAGCGGAGGAGAGGACTTCTTGGTGAACTACTATGAGGGGCCACCGTTCCGCTTCAAAACATCTCACAGGCATGTTGCTACCTGGGTATTGTGGGGGCTAACCATGCCCCTCTTTTGATTTGTTGGAAGATTGTTCATATATCGTAAGTAGAGTTCCGGTCTAAATACTCTGTTCCCATAGTTTCTGTCAACTTATTCCAGTACTCATATTTACCCATGTTCTTACATAAGCGGAGTGAAGAGGTTGCACCTTTGTTCAGTAGGCATCGGGTCAATTTAATCATTTGACTCTTGCGGATGATATGCTGAACGTATGTTCTCAATCGGTTCATGCATTTCTTCTTACCAGGGAACATTCGAATTTTGTGAACTGTGTACGTTATTCTCCTGATGGTAACAAGTTCATCACGGTTGGATCAGATAAGAAAGGAACCATATATGACGGAAAGTCAGGTGAGAAATTGGGAGAATTGTCTGGGGATGACGTACATACTGGTAGCATCTACGCAGCGAGCTGGAGTCGTGATAGCAAGCAGGTGAGAATTTCAATCTTTCGTTTTTATTTCTAGATTCGCGTAAATTGTTATTGTTACATCGTTTTACTAATCTCACATAAATGCTGGGATCCCCTCTATGCCAGGCTTGGATTCAATACTTCTCATGATGCATATGTTTTTTGTTGGGTAGATGCAATGGTATACTTTGCATCTGATGAGTTCTGTCATGCAAATGGATTTTCCCCATTCTTCTACCTTTTTTAATATTGCAGTTCGGCTTTCTGGTCATTCGTTTCTGTCCTGAAAGTTGTTGCCGTTGTGGAATGTGTCGCTCTGTTCACTTATGATACTTCATTGAGCATGCCCGTTTTGTGGATACTCAGGTACTCACAGTCTCAGCGGATAAGACTGCAAAGTTATGGAACATCTCTGCGGATGGATCAGGAACTGTTACTACAACATTTTCGCTTGAAGGCGATGGAGGAGTAAGAGACATGCAAGTGGGATGTCTGTGGCTTAATGACTATCTTATCTCGATATCTTTGGGTGGGAAGTTGAGTTATTTGTCGCAGGCAAATCCAACTCTTCCCCCAAAAGTCATCTCAGGGCATTTGAAAAGTATCACAGCAATAACACTGGCTACGAATGGTGGCAAGACAGAGATTATTTCCAGCAGTTATGACGCAGTTATCATAAGGTGGACAATGGGCACTGGATACCTGGGTCGGTTAGAAATCGGAGATCTCCTGCCAACAGTGAAGAATTTAGTGATCGCTGACCAGCAAGTTTATCTCTATGGTCTTGACAAGCAGGTGAGGCAGTTAGGTCATAAGCAGAGTCAATGTCATTTGATCAAGTCGGATCAGTCCGAAGTTGAAACTAGTTTCAGAAGTTCGGTACAAAATTTATGTGGCCAGTTGTGAAGGTACGCAATGGGTGTTGACTTTTGCACTTTATCTACTTCTTTGTTCAGATATGGACTGCAACCCTTGCCGAAGAAGAATTGAAAGATCTGGCTCCTCTGGATTTAGGTGCGCAGCCAAAAAGTTTAGATGCCGTTGTAACTCCGAAAGGAGAGCTCGCTCTGGTAATTACAGACAATGAGCTCGTCCTTTTACTGGGCTCAAAAATCTTATCGAAGACTCCTACAAAGTACACCGCAAAAGCTGGTGCATTATCTCCCAATGGGACTGAAGCAGCTGTAGGTGGTGAAGATGGAAAGGTTTACATTTACAGCGTCCAGGGCGATACGCTTTCCGAGGAAAACGTGTTGGAGAAGCATCGCGTACCTGTTACAACTGTCAGATTTTCACCCGACGGTACAATGGTGGCTTCTGGAGATCAAAGCAGGGAGGCTGTTGTTTGGAGCCGGGAGTCCGGAGATGTAAGTTTTTCTTCCTTTTGACGACTACATGTCTACATTGTTTCTTCTCATTAAATCAGGAAGTGTATCTACAATAAACATCATCCATGGCATCAGCCGCTTAAATTAAGAAACGCGATAAGTAATTTGTAGGCGTGGAAGCGTGCTAACAGGGTATAAACATGGTGCTCACTATGTCAGAATTAAAATATTTCCATCCAGTTTGACCTTTCTTACTGGCAGTGGTGCGTTGCATCATCAACATCGTAGATGCTACTATATGACTCAAATCTCAATGAGCATTGAGATTAAGGCTCCAATGATCAGGGAGCGACAAAGATGCGACGGTTTAGCAGTCTCATACAATTTCAACTTTTCTTAAATTATAGAAGGTCAGGTCGGAAGCAGAAATAACTGACATAGTAGGTGTATATTGAAGGCTTTGACAAAACAATAGAAGAGACAACATTCGAGCTTTTCTGCTCATCTTATAATGGCTGATCCGTGATCCTTTTGATTCAGTGGCAGGTAAAGGTGAAGAACATGCTCTATCACACTTCCCGCATCACCGCAATAGCCTGGTCTCCGGACAGTCTCCAAGTTGCAACAGGCTCAGTCGACACCAGCGTGTATGTCTATGACGTGACGCAAGTTGCATCAACCCGGAAAGTCATTAAAGGGGCTCATTTAGGAGGTGTTTCCGCTCTCGCTTTTGTGGACGCACAAACGCTTGTGACTGGTGGAGATGATGCTTGCCTGCGCCTATGGGACTTGTAATTCAGGCTGTGATATACTCCATGTTCAAATCATGACATAACGAAAGTGTTCAAATAGAAATGTGTGTGGAACATTCATCCCGGTGGAGATCAAGTTTTGCAATTTGGCAGTACGTATGGATCTCTCGAATATCTTTTTGAGAGCGGAAGAAAAGTCGGCACCGGCTCGAGTGCGGAGTGAGATTTCTCAACGTCTGGTTCACTGGTTTAACCGGAATTTGAACCTGCAGGGTTTTTTTCTTGTTGTCAACTCGAGAGTTTTGTCAATTCCCTCATTGTGGTATTGTTGGTGTTTGATCGTTGAGATTGTGTGTCGAGGGCATTCAAAGACACGGTACAATTGGCTGTAAGAATCTACTGCTATTTGATAAAGCGTACGTGCACATGGTTTTCTCAGGGGTAGGCAACAGAAATAGTTTGGTGTCAAGGGTTTTTTGTTCCTTACGGCAACCATCAAAACCCGCAATGTTTCAGCCTCCATTTATATTGTTACGGTGGCTGAAGCCAGCACCCTCTAGTTGGTGCTCAAGATCTAATAGCCAGATATAACCACCAGAAGCTGATGTGTTGTCGGCTCTGAGTAATTTGGGAGCTGATCCAAGGCTCCAGGATCTTCATTCAGTAAATGTAAACAAGATGTAGATCCCAGAACGGGCATGCTTCGTTCATTGTTGGAGAAAGTAGATGGTCTCTTTCACTTTTATCAATTGTAATGAACTTCGACTGTATTCAGTTTTGTAAATTTAAAACGAAGGATTTGAGACGTTTCAACATAAGGCTGTTCGTCTGTGCTGCCAAAGTAACCACGATGTCAATGTCCCGTCTGCCGAACAAAACGATGAAACCCCCAACGTTAGATTCCAGGAAGCACGAAGATCGAAGATGAAGAACATCGATGAAGAAGAGTAGAACTCAACACTTGCATCACCAAATTTCACCATTTCCAAAGTCTACAAGAATATACAGTCCGAACACACCGAAGCGTCCTGAAACAGAGGAAAACTCGATGTTGTCGTCCTTCGCTCGAGAATGGTCCTCGAAGAACTCATAGTCTATACAGTCTCCAGTTCCGAGCCACCTCTCCGGAGCCTCAAAGAATAGCACACACATTTGGAGCACGGAGACCAGTCAGAAAATGCATCTGCATGCACAGGCGAGGGCAAAGGAATACGAAGCTTGACGAAAGACGACGTCCATGAGCTTCAGCAGGCCATGCCAGGGAAGAGGGCCGCAGAAACGCACGAATGTAGTCGGGCCATGTGCCGATTGGCCCGAGGAGCGAGGGTTTAAAAGGAGATGAGGGTTTAATGAGGGTTCAAGGGTGGGAGGAGAGCGATAGCCCGGTCGGCCACACGCATGGATAGCGAGGATGATGATGGGTAGCACCCATGGCCCGAGAGTTTGGACGCAGGGGACTGCTGACTGCTCGGCCTGAGGACACGCGAGTCGTCGTCGTCGTCGTCGTCGTCGTGGCAAGTGGCCGCGGCTGGCCGAAGGAAATTGGCAGCCCGTCCGTGCCAGAGGAACATCGGAGGCTGCCAATTCGGGAGTTGTGAAGGTGGCGGGAGGGGCTGGATTCGGAAGATCTTGCAAGAGCCCCGAAATGTCGTCGAGGATGCCGACTCCAGGCCGCGTTGCGGGAGCTGACATCGAGCCAGGGATGCAGTTGGCAGTGTCGCTGTCGCTGTCGAAAGTCGATGAGCCCGAGCTGCCGAGCTGCTCGCTGTCGGAGAGGTCCTGGGCCGAGTAGGTCGGCGTGAGTATCGCTCACATTGTCCAGAGTTTCGCAATTTGCTCGGGCGTTGTCGCGCATCGAGTCGACTCATTTCTTCTCTCCATCTTCGGGGCTGTTAAACGAGGGGAATGGACCCAGCTTCTCCCTATGGCTCAGCTGCCAGTCCAGTATGGTTTGTTTCATTCCTTCGTTTCTCCGGCCACCCGATTTGCGCCTCCTAATTGGGCTCTCTATCTCACGAGCACCAGAAGCACTCTTTCCAACTTCATATCGTCTCCGTATCTGCAAATGTCGTCGATCCCTTTCGAAAGACGGTTTTCTGTAAGACACGCCGGAAGCTCGCAGATTCCACTTATCAATGGCACTAAATTGTCTTTGAGCTTTTCCGATTCTTCTGTGCGTGTGGCGCCCAAAGGAGACAGTAAACTGGGCACAACATCGAGTGACGTTGTGCATCTTAGCAGCAGAACTCTTTCTAGTCTGAGCAGGTACAGAAGTTGGGGTTTTTCTCAGAATCTGCTGTATAGCAAAGCAGATGCAGGGCTAGTGAAGTCATCATCCATGAATCTAGCTCAATTTGGACAGTGCTCGAACGGCACACAACTATGGTGTCCCGATTCAATTCCGCGTTTATGTGACGGGCACAATGCACCTGTCGCCAGGTTCTCACAAAGCAAAGAGGGCATCAATTCATGCTTTACATCGAGGAGAAGTGTATCTGCGGTCAGAACCTCAAGATTTCCTATTTCCGAGGTATGCAGCGTGCCACCTCAGTTTGCTTGTATGGGAGCTAGGGGGTGATGTAAATGATAATCCGACGAAAGAATCAAGAGCGGCTAGACAAATGCCGCATATCGAACTTTCGATTGCGGAATGAGAGCTTGCAGTCGAGCAGGTGATAGCGATGGTCAGGGTTTTGATAATTAGTCAACACTGACGGTGAGAAACAGAGAGGGAAAGCTAAGCTTAGTTTTTGGAATTTTAATGGTTTAAAGATTGTTCTACTCTTAATGTTCCTGCTACAAATTTACTGAGCGAAACGAAGTTGAACGTAATGTCCGTGTCGATGGTCGCAGTTTTGTTTGTCGTATCACAGACAGCCGGCATTGAGTTCGATGTATATCACGACCAATGCATGGTCGGAGATGGCACACACTCCTCTGTACTCGAAGCGTCGAAGAAAGAGGAGGAAAGGTCCACACGCTTCGAGGACAGCCCCGGGACCGGCCGTGCAAGAGGCGGAGCCAGTCATGAAAGTTGAGGAGAAATCAGTAGTAGTAGTGGAGTCCCCTGCCAAAGCTAAAACAATCCAAAAGTACCTTGAAGGAAAATACGTTGTGCTTCCAAGTTTTGGGCACGTAAGGGATTTAGCGGCCAAAGCTGGATCAGTGCGACCTGATGAAGACTTCAAAATGGTCTGGGAAGTGCCTTCTTCTGCCCGTCAACATCTCAACGCCATCAAGGCTGCTGTCAAAGGGTGCGGACCTCATGATTCTCACAGGACGGACGTGTGCTATCCTTATTAAGATTACTGTTAACAATGAGCATTGCTTATTCAGACTGAAGACTTGTGTTATTTATGTGGTACGGAGTGGCTCAGAAAAAGGGCTTAATGTCCAAGAGGACCAAGTGATGTACATGAACTGGACACTGGTCCAGCGTGCTCGGAAATTGCATGAAGATTCAGCTGACGTTCCTCGACCAAATTGCATTTTCAGTTTGCTCATCGTATGACTACCTGTATCGTCTTGCAGGGCGAATAGTTTAGTCCTTGCTTCTGATCCTGACAGAGAAGGGGAGGCTATTGCATGGCATGTTCTAGAGATGCTGAAGATGGAGGGGTCTGTAAAAAGTGACTTGAAAGTAAGACGAGTTGTGTTCAATGAAATTACTAAGGCGGCTGTTTTACGAGCCATGGAGTCTCCCCGAGATATTAGCACGACCCTCGTAGATGCATATCTGGCTCGGAGAGCGTTGGACTACCTCATTGGTTTTGATCTATCGCCAGTTCTTTGGCGTAAGCTCCCTGGAAGCAAGTCGGCAGGGCGCGTCCAGTCAGCTGCACTTCGTCTGGTGAGCGAACGGGAAATGGAGATGGAGGCTTTCGTAGCTCGAGAATATTGGTCGATTGACGTCGATGTTACCGTCGCTGATAGTGCTAGTGCCGTCAACAAGAAGGGTGCCAAGTTCCTCGCAAAAACAACGCATGTGGATGGTGAAAAGCTATCACAATTTTCTCTGGTCTCCGAGGAAATGGCACGCAATGTAGCTGCAAGAGTACAATCTGCCAGGTTTGCTGTCTCCAGCGTCAAGAAAAGCATGGTGAGGCGAAACCCCCCTGCTCCATATATAACATCCACGCTGCAGCAAGATGCATCAAACAAGCTGGGATTTGGAGCAACTCGTACTATGGCGGTATGTCTTACCTCTTCGTATTAGCGCATTTTTCGTAAAATGGTCTGCAGAAGATATCAGCTTGGTCAATTCCTGCAAGCTCGTATATCCGCACTCAAATTGCGGAGTATTTTGGAAATGCGTGTCTTGAGATGGGGATGCTGTCTTTGACGTTTTGTGCAGTTATCACAACAGCTTTACGAGGGAGTCAAACTTGATAATGACGAACTTACAGGCTTGATCACATACATGCGGACAGATGGTGTTCAGGTGAGTTGAATGCAACTTACAACTGTGTTCATGTGGCTACCCTCGACTTAAAACATGACTCTCAGTTCCTGACTTTTGATACCATGTGATCCGGAACTACTAACAAGCGGTGATGTGTTTCAACTCCAGTTGTGAGCAGATCTGGGTGAACGGGTCATTTTTTTGAGTTTCCAAAATGCTTTCCATGCTTTTCTGTTTGATGTTGACCGTGACAGCCAAGATATGCTTTGCAGATGTCTAGTGAAGCTGTGCAAAACATCCGCTCGCTTGTCGCGAAAAGGTTAGCACGATTCTCCAAACATCTACAATTAAGGAAGACGCCATGAGTTTATCAAGTATCCGAGGACTAAAGTGCGATTGTCCATGGTGTGCGCCTCAACTTGTAATGCGTATTGCTAGATGAGCGAAAGTGTTCACTTTTGTGTTGCTAAGAACTTTAAGTTAAGAGCGACCAATTGATATGTTCGGATGGCAGGTATGGTGATGATTTTGTACCGCCGCAGCCACGACAGTTCAGCTCTAGAGTAAAGAATGCTCAAGAAGCCCATGAGGCCATCCGCCCAACGGACATTTATCGCCTACCTTGTAAAGTTCTCAACCCTGATTGTGGATTACGAGAATTCAAGGCAAGCCGGCGGTATGCTAGACCGGGCTAAGTTTGTTTGTTTGAGTTGTACTTTGAGTGAAGGAATGATATGTATGTTAATTGAAGTGACAATGAACATGGATGAGATCATCATGTCAAAAGCAGAAGAAACTCATCCAGCGCCGGTGAATGTCCTCATTCTTTGACTACAATACATCTTTGACCTCATGCGTATCTATCATCTGTCTATGCATGAATCCTGAACGAATTCTGGACGGAAATAAGCGTTATTTAAGATTGGGCTTCTTTCTCTTTGGAGGCGGTTGTCTTGTTGTTATTATCAATGTCATAAGTCTTGTTGTTGGTGCTCCTTGTCTAATGTTTGTCAAACCATGGTTGGAACATTGTATCTTACCACTCAACCATGCCGTATTTACCTGCTGATACGCGTTGACTGTGCAGCAATGTTGGTGCATGCTCTCGAGGAAGATGCACTGCGCCTCTACTCATTGATTTGGCGACGTACAGTCGCCTGCCAGATGGAACAAGCTATTTTTGCTCAGGTTTTCTATCCCTTCCCCAGATCACACTGCTGCAAAGAAATTTGCATCCGACCTTATTAAAGGTCAATAAACTAGTGCTTCAGTTCTATGTTCTAGTGAACCTATGGTTGCTTTTCTCGATGTAAGCTTTGTGGCGGATTTGCTGATCATGCACATTTACCAAGTTTCTGAGTCTCTCTAATATCTGGAATTTGTCCAGGTTGTTGTCGATATAAAGAGTGATACAGAAGACTTGCAGATGAGGGCAAGCGGGTCTTCTTTGTCGTATCCTGGTTATCTTGCCGCTGTTAAGGTAAGCTATTTACTTCCTTTCAATCTGATCATAATATATGCCCTTCAGGCTGCAACTGGCCAATATTATGCCGTACACTTATCTGCTTTACTTACTCGTGAATGTCTGGTTCTTATATGCACGAGGTTGAACTTTCTATTACATACTTGATTTGGTCAGGATGAAGCAGCTTTGACTTCAGTTAAGGAAGAAAGCGGAGAAGAAGATGAAGACCTTGAAGTTGATGAGGGAAAACTTTGGAGTTTAGAGGTAAATGAATGTGGAAGACCAGACTTTCACGTTGTTTTGCTCGAAAATCTTACTAGTACGTTGAGGTTCACTGCAATATGTAATTACGGATTTTAAGAACTAGGTAACGGCTCTGGATGGGGAATGCTCCTCGGCGTGGAGATTTTTCGTTAATCAGTCGAACTTGTACCTAGTTGACCTGGGGATTAATGGATACTGTCCACGTTTGAATATATACTATCTGCTCAATCATCGACTTAGTGTTTTGATGAGCTGAATAGGGTTTTTATCAGACAGATGTCGTTGAACGGTGTGTAGGTAACTTTCAAACTAACATGGACTTCAATTTGTGTTGCAAGGCAGGGGATCTATTGAATCTTATAAAAGTCCAGCCAAATCAGCACTTCACAGAGCCGCCTCCTCGATTTAGTGAGGGATCTTTGGTAACGATCTGCCATCATTTTGATGCATCGATATTTATGCTCGAAGTTCCTTGATTTCTCACCGTGGTTGCGAAATGTGCTTGGCACAGAACTTCTGGGCCTGAATTTGATAGTGCGATGAAACTCCTCAGTAAACTCACGTCTATACGCTTTTACTCAACGCCACAAAGATTTGAATAAAATGCCTTGAAAACCCCTTGTATTTCCTAATCAAAAGTAATTTATGGTCCACTAGAATTAGGCATACTTTACATGGAAAGCGGTTTCATCACTATTTAGTTGTAACTACTGGCATGTTGGAGATCATAATGTAATTGTCTATTGGTACCTGACTGTTTTCTTCAGTGGAAGAACAAATAGGAACTTCCAGAAAGCAAGTATCCGTTCCTTCATGTGAAATGAGTGAGTGAGAGTATCCAGACGGCCAGAAAAGCCTTACCAGCTCTTAATGACTTCAAACTTCAAACTTATTTTCTAGGTTAAACGATTAGAAGAGCTGGGGATTGGCCGACCGTCAACTTATGCTTCGACGTTAAGAACCTTGGTGGTAACGATCTGGTGTTGAGACAATCAATATTTCACTTTCATACTCCTTCTTTATACCTGGATTTAGTGCAGGTATAAAGAAATAGCCTTGCAGCTGTATTTTAACATGTTGGTTCGTTGACAACCTTGTGTCTTGATTCCATGGAATTTGACAATGCTCCACCGTGCATCATTATATACGTGTACACTGCAGTTAAGGAATTACGTGAAGATCGAAAAACGCCGCATCTTTCCGGAGCCTCGTGGACGCATGGTATTGTCTAATGACCTATACGATTGGTCATATTCTACGAGATTAATGTGCAAGAAGTATTTGTAGTAAAGCAAGAAGTTAGCAATTAAGGCGTCAAAGCACTAGTTTGCATTGCACTACCTTTGGTTTGACGCAAGTTCATCGCCATCTTTCCTCACCTGAAGCTGAGATATCCTCGGAGACAAGATTTACTTAGATTTTTTAAAAACAGATATTTAACTAGATTTTTTATTCTTCAGGTTTCTTCTTTCCTTTCACACTACTTCCCTAAATTTGCTGATTACGAGTTCACTGCAAGGTTGGAAGAACAGGTACTTTAACCTCTTTTTTTTTGGGAAGAAGAGAATGATGTCAAGTTTGTTATGGAGTTGTAGAGTTGGAGTTTACTACCAGTTGTAGAGGTTCTGAAGCTTTAACTAACTTTGCGTGGCCATAGCTTGATGAAATATCTGCAGGCCGTGCAGAGTGGAAAGCAATTTTATCTGATTTCTGGCCTGAATTTCATGAAGGAGTCATCGCAGTTTTGAAGATTCCGATTGAGGAGGTTTGTTCTTTTCTACTCTGTATGAGACTCTTCTCTCAACGTACGAGTATATGAGGAAGAGAGAACCAATTTCGACAATACGTCTGCTCTGTGACACAGTTATTCTGGATGTACTTTGTCATTACCTGTTGAAGAAAGGATTCATCATCAAATCGTTGTGGCCAAGTTGAGATTTAGTTCAATCGTATGGAACTGTAGGTTGGTTCTGATCTTTTATGAAAGTTAGGAACCCACCAATTTTGGGTGAAAGTCTTGCGCGAAATGCTGTTTGAATCATAGTTGTGCTCTCGCAAGCACGTGATTTCGACTTCGAAAATCTCCATTAACTGAGATTAATTGGAAAGTTTTCTGCCTGCTTTATAGGTCGTGGATCTGCTTGAAGAGGTGTTTTTGAAACAGTTCTTCTCAGGCTCACAAGACAGAGTTTGTCCAAGGTCGGTAATTCCTTAAGTTTTGCGTGCACTGAATCTTGACGATGTTTCTCCACGTATACAGTTGCCAACTACACATGCTATGGTCCTTGTTTGCTATGTCCATCAAACCATTTGCAGCTTGTAAGTTGTTCAAACATGTACTTAGAAATTGGATGGCTGAATTGGAAGATCATTCTGTGGCCAAAACAGACATATTTTGACAAGCCCTACCGACTTTTTACAGCTGTGGCGAAGGAAAGATGGGTTTGAAGCTCAGTCGCTTCGGAGCCGGTTACTTCCTCGGTTGTAATCGGTATCCAAAGTGCATGTAAGTAATCTCTGTGCCTTTTTATCTTAGTGATTACCAGGTTCCATTCTTTCTCTTTAGTCTTACTTGTTTGCAACGTTCATGCAGTGTTTTATACCTACATCGTATGCAGGTATAGAACGAACTTGTTATCTGCAGATGGGGTGGACTCTAGTGATGATGAAGAGAATTCTTTGATGGAGGTACCAACACCAAGTAGGATACTTGGTGTTGACCCAGCGTCTGGTCTTGAGGCAAGTTTCAAATGCTTTGTTCGTCTCTGACCTGCCATGATTCGCTGAATTGGTACCACCTGATTATCCAGAAAGTAGATTCTGCTTACTGATTATGACAGACAGATATGGAACATCACTTCCATTGAAGAGTGAGGCTTGTTATGCGGAAAAGTGTTGATATATTAGTTTCAAATGTTGCCTTCCACTTTTTTAGGCCAAAACCTTTACTAGAGCAACAGAAGTGCTTTGGAGTTGCCTACTGAAAAGTAGAAGTTGTGCAATTTTTTTCGGATGAATCAGTACGTTAACTTTTAAGTTGTAATAAGTGCTCATAAAAAACCCCCTCCTTTGGTCCCAATTGATCCCTAATGTTGCATTTACGAGGTAAGTGACCGTCTCCTTCTGCTGTTGTCCAGGTTGCCTTGAAAACTGGACCATTTGGCAGGTATCTTCAAGTGGGTAGCGGATCAAAGAAGCAAAAACCGAAACGTACAGCTGTGCCAAAGGTATGAATTGTTGCTCTTCCTGAAATAGATCATATTTTCGAAGGAGATTATTCATTCAAATTGAAACAGGAGTCCATATCGTACTAAACACACAAGTCGGCCGTGCAGAATATGAATGTAGATGAGATAACTTTGGCCAGCGCCATGGAGCTTCTCAAATATCCAATCGAGCTGGTGAGTCTCAAAATCGAGACTCATAGATTGTGCCAGAATTGGAAACAAGTTTTTAAGTCGTTGATTATTCTTTCAATCACAACATTTTTATTTTTCCTTTCAGCTGCCCATGCGTGGTTTTTTCTTTCTTTTCCTTTCCATGTTTGATTATCAGTTGGTTTTATGCTCCATCTTGCCTTGTGAAGTGAATTTGATAAAGTGAAAACGCGCAGGGCACGCATCCAACTTTGGATACTCCAATTCTGATGTGTTTTGGGCACTACGGCCATTTTATACGCTGCCGTGGTTCTTTTGTCTCCGTTCCGAAAGTGAGTTGCAAGTGCCCGTCTTACTATTTGTGCCTTCACTACCCTTGCTCGTCCCGTACTTTTTCTTAGGAGCTTGTGATGTCGATGGAATTAAGAGGAGCCATATCGTTCGTCTCTTACAGGAAATGGCCCCAGAAAAACTGACTTTGGAGGAAGCTGTAGAATTACTCAATAGTAAACACGCTTCCAAACTTGGGCGCAAACGTAACGTGCAAGATGGGAAAGCTGCAAAAGCTGAGGCTTCTTCAGACAAGAAGACTACTGCACTTAAGAAGGTAACGAGTCCGAAAACAAAAGCAACCAAGATCAAGGCATCAACAACTGGCTCCACCAAGACGTCGAGTTCAGCTTCAGGGGATACTAAAGAACCAGAGAAGAAGAAAATTGGTGAAGTACGGAAGAAGGTACCGAAGGGTGTGTCGAAAAAGAAGGCTGATGAGAAGACTGTAGCAGAAACAGTTGAACAAGGAAAGGAAAATGGGACTGGGTCAAATGTAGAAGTAAAAAGACCGCGAGGCAGGCCTCGGAAGGTGCGGCCGGAAACACCAGCTTCTTTAGAAGAATTAGTAGAGGTAATTGAAGATGTCCTATCACCTGGTCTTTTTGAACCTCGTTTCATTTGTAGCCTTGGGATAGGAAAAGACGAACGATCAGCAAGTTTGGCATGAAACTGTTTCGAACCTGCTTTGTTGCTTTTAAACACGAGAGCTACTTATTCACAATGCAGACAGTTACATTGAGATGAACGGAAGTCCTCAAAACTAGTGTGCTGAAAGTGTGCGTTTCCAGTTTGTTAGAAGTCGAATTACTACCCACTTCTTGGACCTCCGTACACTCACGTTCTTTGCTGTATGTACTTTGTACTATAGTCGGGGTCGTGACAGATTGTCACGACCAGCCGCTGTCCACTAGGGTTTCTGTATCTCTCGGACTGTCACGGTTGGGTATATATTCCCCATCCGGGTTCTCTCCCCATTAACTAAGATCTGCTCTCCAGTACTCAGTATCTGTGTCTCTCGACTCTTTCTTGTATTGCCTCAATTCTGTTATGGTATCAGAGCGTTAGGGTTTAGAGTTCAGAGTTCGAAGATTTGTTCTTTGAAGCTCAGCACAGAGTATAGTTCGAGTTCAGGGAGATGACTTCTCCTGGGGTTTCAACCCGGTTCGCATGGAAAGAGCTCCCCCTCCCCAAATTCAATGGGGAACATTTCCATGCGAACCGGGTTGAAACCCCAGGAGAAGTCATCTCCCTGAACTCGAACTATACTCTGTGCTGAGCTTCAAAGACAGTTACATTGAGATGAACGGAAGTCCTCAAAACTAGTGTGCTGAAAGTGTGTGTTTCCAGTGATGTGTGCATGTTTCTCTCTTTAACTCCATTGTGTCTTTCAGGCCACAGCCCAACTCCAAGCAAGTTACGTCGATCGACTAGATTAACCTCTTCTTAGGTAAGATATGAAGAGTAGCATTTGAGCTTAGAGAGTCTCTGTTGTAAACGAAGTACTCTCTTGTGTCCACCTGTCGTCCGAAGTGATGTGTAGCATTATTGTCTTTTCCAATTCTTGCGTGCAAGGTGGGCAGTTTGTTTCCTTCTTTCTTCTCTTTTTTTTTTTCCTTTGCTTTTGGGTTTCAAAAAAACACTACTCAAAAGAAATTATCTAGTTTAATGAGAAAAACATTTTGCAGGTCCTCCAACCTACGCCGCGTTACCGACATCGATATCGTCTCTGTCCCACCCATGTCAGTAGTAAAGGCAACACGAACACATTTCTGTATATGGACGACTGGTGCTTTCAAGTAAGTAAAACTGTATGTAGTATACTGAAATTAGTCAGGGACCCATTTGTTCCCTTGTCTGGTCCATAGCCTAGAATAGTCAAAGCACGAAATTTGTGTGTACTCTTGGACTCTTCTCGAAGAGGAATTTCAAGTCATGTTGAAGTTTCGGTTCACCGTGAAAGCCAGAAGGTGGTCGGATATTTTATCTTAGGAGTGATCTAACTTTCTCTGTCCTTTCACAAACTTATTCTTATGCCGAATGTGTCCTTCACCGATACCATGCCATGTACGACTGTTCCATTTTGAAAACTCCCGACTGATTCAAGGAAAATGATTTGCCGGACAATCCCCTGCATACAAATTACACTAGATCAGCAATTCGTATTATTTCTGAATAATTTGAGATTCTTGCTCTTGAGATAAATGCGATAGTTCCCGGTCATAGTCTTGTTAGTGGTCATAATCGGGCGTTTCTTAACGACTTTGCCCTCGCGATCAAATGCGATACAAAATCTGCAAGCAAAGTCACTGGTCTCAGCATCTCCTTCTGAAATCTGGAGGCGGCAATCCTGTTGATGTGATGTATTGAACGGTGGAAGTCACGTTTTGAACGTTTACCTGTTCCAACCATTTGCTAAGTTGATAATGTGAGCCAGGGAAGATAGCCTTTGAGATTAGATACATCCGAAATATGAGATTAGGCATTTTAGTATGCCTGATTTACATTGGCCTGATAATAAGTTTTCATTCCAAATGTACATTAAATTAATGTGCAGATTAATACCGAGAATTACAAATATTCAAACAACTACCAGGTTGGACTGTACCGATTTTAAATATTAATTAGGCTTCTTGGGCATGAAAAATACCACATTTTTTATACTATGGATTTTAATTCTCAAATTTGACTCCTATTTCAACTTGTGATTGTTGAAACTGAGTTTGAAAAATCAAACTCAGTTTGTGCTTCTCATTTTAGAAGTAACAAGCTACAGCTCAGTCGTTAGGTAAGGTTCAGAAAGTAATCAATATGATGCAAGTGACACGCTTCATAAATTTATCTGATGTTTGCCAGAATGGTTTTTCATGACTACTGTACCGGTTTGTCAAAATCTCAGAACTTTGACACAATCTGCTAAAATTCTAATGTTTATCTTTTGCAGATGAATTTGAAACTAATATGTGATTCCTCATAGTTTAACTGAATATTAACTTGTTGAACTAGGAGTCTTGACATTTAGCTCTATATTTCACAAATAGCTCTATATCAAAAGAACCTTTATTTTTATGCATGATATAAAAGTAGTATTCAAGTGTGACAAGTTGTTGCCATCCGCCTCGTAAATTGCCAATGGACAGCGGCGCAGTTTATGAAGGTCATTGTCTAACCTCATCCGGTAGTTAATTGAAATGAAGGTCTTGTCTGGAGAGGTTCTGCGTTAGTTCTATTCAGCTCTGTTCGTTATTGCCAAAATCTTTGGATTTTTTAAATTTTCAAGTAAAGGTCAAATGACAAGTTTGTTTCAATGCAAGCTATTGTTTTCTTTTTGAAATGTTATTATTCTTATCTTGATTAATAAACAAATTTCAGAGTAAATTTTCAAAGTGAAATAATATGATATCAACAATAATTACATGAGAAATAAATGATGCTGATACATATTCATATTCAAAAAAATATTTGACCTGTGAAATTCTAAGTAATGCTAATGAAATCTTGTTTGAAATTTTAATTATCACTGATCACATAGTCTTACATCTTGAATAATTATTAAGACAACAAACATGCTCAAATGATTTCTTTGGCGTGAAGGTCATGAGATGATTAGAAAAATAGCTAGAAAGTAATATTCTAAAAAATATTCATTATTGGAATAATACTTTATTTGAGATTAGAAAATTCCAAAAACATTAATAAATGTTAATTATCAGTAATTACTAATTAAAGTAGAAAAAAATCTGTTTATACACAATTATAACACATGTTATAACCTTATTCATAACATTGATAGAATCTTGCATTTATTTATGGTATTTGGTTATAATGTATGTAGATTATGTTTAGATTAAAAAAGATTTGGAAATATATTATGAAATTGAAACATTCAACTTTATGTGTAAAAAAATTCAGTAAAATCTGCAAATAATTTAAAAATATGATTATGCATAGACATTATTATCTTTCTCTTTTTCAGTAAAAAATTCACATAAATTAGTAATACTTATGTTAGAATATCAATTAAAATGCCAATATTTTAAGTTGTTGCTCATATGTGGAAGTGATGACGCTAATTTAGAACTACTTATTGTGGAATTTTTTGTAACATTGAATTTGAATAACAATAAAAATTGTTTGTTAATAAATGATTATATTTATTAAATTGTTTAAATTTATGAACTCATGTTTACTAGACAACAAAATTGATTTCACAAACGTAAAATCAGTACTATGTACTTATCATTCATTTGTGAAATAGAATCTCCTTATTGTTTTCAAAGTAATGATATTTGTCATGTACCTGCAGATCACAAAATAGTTGAGAATGAGACTCTTAATATGTATTTGACATATTATTAGTAATTAATTTGAAGTCTGAACAAATCATGTGTAAGAAATGCAAGTGAAAAAATGATCACTTAGAAACTGCAGTCAACAACTTTAACTCCCACTCCCGCGTTAAGGAGGTTAAGTTGAAAATGGCAATGATGTGGAAATCACTTCTTTTATTGACTAGAGAAAAGTTTGAGAATTAAAAGTTTTTCAAGTATGTTGTTTTGAAGTATTTGAATTGTTAAGTGTGATTTTTGATGGAAGAAATATGAAGAGCATTCCATTTGTAACCTAATGAATGATATTGGTGTGATGTATTTTAAACCTAGTAACCTATTTCATTGTTAAAAATTTTGAAAAATGATCAATTTTGAATGAGATGCAATGCTGTACCGGAAGAAGAGTATAGAATAGATGACAACATCACTTTTTATGATATATCACGAATCAACAAAGCATTAATTGTAAGTAATTGTTTGTTTATCACGATGAAACTGAATACATAGGAGACACACAATTAACTTTATAAATGAATAGCTTTCTTTTTATCAGTTATTTTTTTCCCCCAAGGGTATGAAGATCAATGACAAAATCATCAAATGTAAGTATATGATCCATGAATCTACATAATTCAACCCATGACTTTTAGCTTGTCATGGACTTGATTTTTCTTAAACTAGATAGTCATCATGTCTGTTGTATTTGACTATATCATTGCTTGGTATCTCAAACTTAGTGGTAGTTATTTTCATTTTTTGACATTCAAAATTGTACCTTGTAACATTGGAGTGAAAATATTATTTTTCATTGATGTAATCATTTTCTTACTATCATTCATCTTGTCAAGTATGCTATAACCCTTTTTTGTGCATATGTTTGTCGTTGGACAAATTTGCATAATTGCAAAAGTACTCTCTCCCTCAAAATTTCAAATTTGATCGCAGATTGTGAGATCTACGCCTAGCTTGCTTTGCTATTCAAACTTAACGACCAATGAAGCTTCTGCTTATAAGAAGTCTGCACCTGCTAATACGAACTCAAGAAACTCTCTATCTTCTCCGCGATGTTGAAGTGTCATTACTTTTTGCCAGTTCGAGACTTAAAATTTGATTTTGTAACTTGTAAAAGATTATGCAATAGCATTTACAGCTCATTTTGAGTCTTCTAATCTGTCTAGCCATCTGTTTGATACTTTTAGATGTCCAAATTTTACGTTAAAATGATGCATTTCAATTTGTCACATCATATGCAATGATGTGATAATTTTTCTATGTATATCGAGTGATTGCAATTGATATCTTTAACTACATGACCAAAAAATTGATTGTTAGTTCGAATGCAATGACTATTACGAAGCTCTATGATATATGCAGCTATACGAGACAATAAAGCTCTATGATCTATGCACTTATATAAGACAATAAAGCATATTAAGCATAATAATGCTTAATCTTTTGGAATAAAATAAAAATTAAAAATCCATTGGAAAAATAAGAGTCCAACTTATTGTAATTGTCATTCAAAACATCAAATCGCAGTGTCAAAACATAAATGTATAGCACATACACAAGTTAGCAAGAAAAATCTTTTACGATGAAATACTATAATCTAGAACAGATTAAAAAGAACATTCTGTGATTAACCAACCAACAAAATATTGCCAACCAACCAACGATAGTGATGAAAGAAGTAAAAATGGAAGTATCTTTCTTCATTTTTTCTCTAACTTCATATGCTAATTATCGTATCACACGAATCTTGTTGCATCTCCTCGCTAATCTAACTTTTGGTAGTTTTGATTGAGCCTTAATGAACAAATCAATCCTTAGTGTCAAAACACGACCGTGATCGTACGTTGAATTTGATTTAAATTTTTGTTCTTTGCAAGTCATCTCGCGATCGAAAAAAAAAACATATTCATTGATCAAAGCCTTGGTGCTCAAATTTTTAGTAAAAAAAACAAGATACATCTTTCAAACCTAATTTTTTTGCGTTCATGAGAAGTTAAATGATTAATAATATTGTCCAACTCTCCACCACAAGCTCCATCAATTTGTTTGGTACAGCTTTACAACAATTGGAAGTGACATTCTTGTGGAAATTATAGCTTGACGATATAATTTCAAAACAAAAATAAAAAATTACAAACATTTAGCAAGAGCTTGTAATCAAAATTAAGCATCGTGAACATCGAGAACGATTTGATACTAATCTTTTATAAAAGAAAGCAAAATATGACAAGTAACATGAAATAAATCACGTTATTGTATTTACATGAAATAAATCATAATAACATCACACAAAATTGATTCAATTTTAGAAATTTAAGCTAGTTACTACAGTATTTACTAGTCGAATTACAATAAATTACAATTTCTTCAAACTTTTTTACAATTGTATTCAAACTCTACAACATGTATATTGAAAATTGAATTGCAAACATAGTGATCGTGCATTTTTTTTAAGCTACAGGTGACAACCATCCGACAACATGATATACTCCTAACATCTATTAGATTTCACAACCGTCATCTTGTTGTTTTAAAAATATGAAATTTGTTTTGAACTTATCAATGATAGATTTTAACCTATATGACAAATGCAATGATTTCTTAGACAATTTATAACAGATTTGTGTTATACATCTAACACAATTGAATCTTACAACTAATTTAATTTTGCCAAAGAAAATTGTTTAAGATTTTAAACAAAAATCATAAAAAATTGAAATTCATAAAAAGTTGCATTTTATGTTTGAACTAAATGTGATAGATTTAATTTTTGTTTGACTACAACAATATTTTTTTTCTTACTTGTGTCTAATATCAATTTTTGAAACCTTTTTACTTCAAAATTAAATTTTTTAATCAACACAAACTTTCCAGATCTACAATGCAGCTATCAAAAATGTTTAAAATCAAAAAATGAAATTTTCTTAAATTTTTTCTAGATTGTATGCTGATTTACATCCAAATCAAAGTCCAAAAAATCTCTTAATCAAGTACGTCAAATTTTATAAAAACTTGATTAATACTCGATCAGCTTTGGAAAAGATGAATTACTTTTTTTGATTTGTTCAACAAAATTTAAAGTGATGACCGCACCAGTAAACATAAAATCGTACAAGTACTTGTCAATTTTGTTTTGTTCACATTGTCTTTTTTATTCATTAAAGTATACGGTGCTTTATTTGGCACAAAAGTATGCGGTCTCATGTAATAAAATTAAACTTGAAAATTTATCTTGCTTGCAGTTGTTGTGATGATGCTGCTTGTAGATTTTTGTAAGAAATAAATAAATTTCAAAAGTTAATAAGTACTATCGGTGCTATAGTAGCTAATGAGAGTACAATTAAACACAAATACTCATCGTATCCATCTCAAAATTATTGCAACACAAAAAATGATACATGGATGCAAAAAATTGTACAGTAGATTTTTTGTAACATTTATATCAAATAAACTTGCAAGCGTTTTTATGCAAACTCAAATGGTGCTATGGAAAAATTGGAATTGTGAAACTGTAGATAATTGCAATCAAATTACATTTCAAGAGTAACAAGCAAGTGAATTTGTGACCTTGTAAACTTTGTGCACGAAGTTGAGCTTGCACATTCACTAAGAAACAAACTTGGCAAGCAAATCTACCTTGATATACAATGTATATTGTTCCTTCATCATATATTGATTTCTTGCGTTTTGAATTTATTTACAAGGAAAAAACATGACACAACATGCGCATTAAGTAACTACCAAACCACGCAGATCTATCTTGCTCCACAATGTATATTTTCCTTCATCATATATTGGTTTCTTGTGTTTTGATTTTATTCACCAGGAAAAAAACAAGATACAATATGCTCGTGCATAAAAAAATTTGTTTACAAATTTTCTTGTGATTCAAAGCTTTGATGACAAAATAATAAAGCCGAAAGATATTGAATACTTTTTGAATTTATGCCATTGCTATTTTCTAGTGTCTTAGTAGTAATAAAGGATGAACCATCAATCCACTTTATTTGGAACTTCTTCAATTTTAAAGTAGTTTTGAGATGTATCAATTTATTTATTGATGGCTAGAGTGGATAACTAGCTTTTCTCAAGCAAAATAAACTTAACAACTCTAGTTTTCATTTCAATTCACACTTTCACTCTCATTCAAAACAAAGTTCACATCAATTATTGTTTTGTTGTAAATTACATGATTGAGTTTGAAAAATCCAAGCTCAATCTTGATATCTAATCATTGAAATCACAAACACATTTTCATAGTTCAACACATGAATAATATACATGAGTGTTTTGCTATTTGCTTTGTTTTGCTATGGACTATGTTCATATGAATTAAATAGATTAAAATAGAATAAAATAAAAAATATTTACAAGTTTTTTATATGCATTGACAATTTAACCAACTTCATTCACTAAAATATGTTAAATTTAATTATATAAAAACGTGAATTGATTTCTTATAACAAAATATATTATAATTTGTAATTTATTTTTACACAACAAAAGTGTCAAGAGTGAAATTCAACTTGAGTTTAATATTACATCAATTACAGAAAAGTTTTTTTCATGAAAACTAACATCTTATACATATCATATATTAATATTTTTTATGATATCATCAATTTTTGATAATAATGAATCATCATACGAATTGATGATCTTTGATATAATATAGAATATGTAAGTAATGAATTTAACCGGATTTATATCTACGTTTTAAATTTGCTCGCAGTTTGGCTCTTTCTATATTTGATCTTTGATATAGAAAAATATAAGTTACAATGAATTTCGATTTTGTTAGATTATCAAAATTTTGCAAATCATGTAATAACGGTTAGTTACTCGAAAAAATTTACTTTGAACAAAGATGTAAGGTTATAAAACATTGGTAAGACATAAAATCATCACGGGAACGAGAACCAGCGTAATATCACACACAAGGACAAGGGGATTTGCATATCAGAGCTGCAAGGTCAATTGCCTGAGATTAAAATATAAGAAAATGAAAAAACATTCCATATTACTAATTATGACCCAACTCGTGTGACGACGTAATACAGAGGTTTGTCGTTACCGAAAACGAAAGCAAATAATAATCAACAGAAGGTCACATTACCCGAAAAGCAATGCCCGACCATCTGCATCCATCTACTTCTGCTGCTCTTCGCAATTTCGTTCGTACGAAGAACGAACAAGAATCCTGAAAACTTTCAAGTGCACGACGGGAATCCCGTCCCACCAACGAGGGACAGACGATTTACCGTCTAGGCGATGGTATCTGACAGTCCCTCGTAGAAATTTTGTTTTCTCAAACATTGGTCTCTAATTACAACGACCACAGAATTCGGAGCGCGACTGACAATCGCAAGTCTAAAATTCGTGGAATTATTCCCGCACAAAGCTTGACCCTGGTATGTATTGAAAGCCTGGCTGGTCATGTTCGCGTCGGGTCGAGTTGAGTCAATGATACTGAACTGGGTTGGGGATACCGTCGAGCAGTAGGTCAAATTGTAACATTCATGACCCAAATTATACAATTTTCTGCAATGTAGGTTACGAGCACTAACCACGACAATGGAGTAATGACTGTTTGCAAATTGGCAGGATTTGCAGTGATTTAGGTTTTTGTCAAGATCAGTCTATGGATAATTGATGAATGTTGCCCATTTGAGTAAATAGGACAGTGAATTGGTCTGTATGACGACACCTATTCAATGTGGCAGTACATTCAAGTAGTCCATCTTTGATTATATGCACTGTTGTCAAATTTACTGACAGCACTTCCAGCTTTTGGCTGTTTCTGTTGCAAATGAAATATATTTGTAGAATGCCGTCTAGGATCACTAAAATTTGAACTTTATGTCTGAGATGGAAGACTTTACCTCTGCTGTATATAATCAATTTTTTCTTTCCTCCTTTTCATGCTGTCAAGTATATGGATTGTATTGAATAAAGACATTTGAAGTATATAATATGTAGTACAGAATTTGGGACATGTACCTACTGCTGTCAAATCTTGCTTTTGAATCTCTCTGTTGCGAGTAAAGCTAATTTTTTTTCATTTAAATTGGACCTTTTTTTTTAAAGAGAGCTTTACGGATGTAAACTCTTTAGTCTACATGTTCTCGCTTATATCCATGCAGGAACAACAATTTTAGATAATAAATCCATGATAGTTTACCACTGAAAGTTTAAGTGTGAACAAGCTATATTGTACTTTCTTTTAACAGGAATCCGTCTTTATAGCTTAAAGAGATTTTTGTTTACAATTATCATCGGCTCAGTACACCAGCATATTCGTACAAGTGATCTTCTGTAGACTCTCTGAGCTTCTGGTTCTTGCCTCTTTGTATGGCTCCCAAACTTCGCAGGAGCACCTTGTCCTAGTCCTTTTCCTGAATAGAGCCAAGAAACAGCCTTGAGGCCATCCCAGGTGGCAATCTCTCCAGCGTGACTCTTCTCTGGTTGTTCATCCGAATCCGGGCTCCTGGGAGTTTCAAAATCTTTTTTCCCTATTTGAGGAATCTCACTGAAAAGCTCAACTTGAAACCTCTAGACAGCATTCAAGTTCTTGAAAACACTGAACTGTCCATCTATTTGTCGATGCTGAGGTTGATTGGTAGATTAATGCTCCCAGCAAGCCAAGACAAGATTGGCCATCCCTTGCTAGTGAGCAGGTATGGTTACAACTTTACTACTGTGTACATCAGAGTGTGCGAATGGATGCGTACGTATGATACATCCATTGGCAGATTCTGCTAGACTCTGTTTTTTTTAATCTTTGAATACTGAAACAGAGTAGTAAGGTCAAGCCTTAGGCAGTAAAACCCATCAACGACCTCTGCCATTTTCATCTGTATGTCTGGCTGTCACCTACTCACTGTATATCCTCCACGTCTGTAATCTTTGAGCCCTGCGACACCACTCAGGTGCTAGCTAGCCTATACAGTTGATCTCCTGCTATTGTAGCATAGATAAATATACAAGAAGAATCTGTTAATCTGTTTGTTTGAGATTTTCATTTTTGCCTTGCTGAAACAATGGTTAAATATATAACCAGTCATCGCACCTTAACTTGTCTTAACGTCTGTTGGAGTGACTATGGATGAATGAAATATGTCGTTCAGTCGTTTACATTCTCTCTCTCCTATCTCACATTGCTCATCCGCAGATATAGATGCTTTGTGTGGGCCACTATGATTGGGCAACAGAAGCGCTCCTTAGAGCACTCTGTTTCGCCGCAGCCAACGAAGTATCAAAAGCAGTTTGATGACAATTTTTGCGAGACCAGCACAAGGATAGCATCTTCAGCGGGTGAGCAATTTGATTTTCACGAGCTTTTCTCTGGGGTGCACTCCCATCATGCCTCTCCATCTCCATCAGCCACCCGCTCTGACTCCACCAGAAGTGGTGACAAGGCATCTGCACTGGATCCATCAGATCAACACAGGGAACCAATTGTACATTCAGAGGTAGATCAAGGGCCTCAGTGTAGTGCATGTCACGAGCTACCCTACCCATCACCAGGGTATGAAGGGTGTGAATCAGCTGAAGCTCTATGTACACAAACTTGCTGCGAAGAAAAGGTGGACATTCACAAAGAGTGTGCTAGTTTTCCTTCTGATTTGGGCAATCATGCACAGGGGACAATAGGTTCCGTGGATATCTTTTCTGCAGATAACTCTGGGCCTGCTCGACTACATGCAGCTGAGGACTTAAGTTCACTTCATGGCAAGAGCAGTCAGAAAGAGGAGCTCTTGAAGAACGCTTTTAAATCTACTTCTTTACAATTAGGTGGAATCGAGTGTGGAAGTTCCTGTCAGGAGGACGAGGGACCCAGCACTACAGATGCCTATGAGATGGGCATCGAAGGAGATCGTGCGTTTGTCGAGTGCGTACGGAAAAGTATGGAGTCGCGACGGCTGAATGGTTTTCGACCTTTGCTTGTATATCCCAGCGGTAAGGTTATGAACCTGTATTTTATGAATGAACAGGTAAAAGCACATGGGGGTTATCAGAGTGTTACTTCCGAGGGTTTATGGGGGAAGATTTCTAAGACTCTAGGCTTTGTTCCAGAATGTGGACCTGCTGTAAAACTTATCTATTTTAAGTACTTGAAAGGTTTGGAGAGGGAGACAAGCCAGATTTTGGAAGCTCAACCGGATGCAACTTCACTGGATGTAGCAAGAGCGAGGATCGAAGACTTCGCAAACGAGGGAGGGCTGGACGATGAGAAGGGCGGAAAATTCTCCCTCTTTGTTGGTGAGCAATTTGCTGAGAGTGATCCTTATCAAGAGAAGGTGGAGAGAACGATGGTGAATGATGGTGACCTTCAAAAGAGAGGAGTATGTCGCCAAATCAGCGATCGTTTTGAGGATCAATTTGACAAGCAGATTAGCAGGAAAGAGAAAGATGCAGGTAGGCAACATTCGTTTTACAGAGGTGGAGGTGGCCAAGCTGGTCAAAGGATACAGTGTGCATCCACGCGGCCTGGAATTCCCAACTCAATTCAAGGTTGGGAAGATACTCAAGCTGCCCAGTCTTCCGACAGTCAGCTGCCTAAGAATCATGAAGGATTGAGTAGTCCTCCAAGGCAAGAAACTACCAAGGAAGTGGGTAGAAATAGTGAAGAGCTAGGAAGAGCGTCCAATTCCGCCCTGGAAGGGAATGACCGCTCTCTAAGTAGCACATTGATCTGGATCAAAAGGATGGCTCTCGATCCAGGAAATCCTCACATGGGTGAAGGTGTTGAAGGATCCGGTCAGAATGCAGAGTGGGTGAAGGATTGCGCTTCTCAAGCTGAAAGAATTCGTGGACTTTTTTGTAAGAGAAAGGAGGAGATCAGATTGGGAGGCGCTGAGCCACATTTGCATCAGGTAATCTAATCGATCATGGTAGCTGCTTTATTATCTTAAATGCGAAATTAGTATCAACTTTATTCTACCTCCCTATATCGTGGAGCCACAGTATCCCTCTCTTTTTTCCCTCTCTGTAAGGCGATGCGTTTAGTTTACCCTCCTACTAGTGTGCAGAACCCTTACTCAACCATTGTAACTACAATTGCTGCATATTTTGTAGACTTCATCCAAAATTTTAAAACTCCGCTCTTTTCAGAAATATTAGTTGGGTCTGCACAACATAATTGATGAGGCAGAGAAGAAGTTGTGGCTGCGAAGTAAATTTATCTTTGGGGATTAGGCACGATAGAAGATATCTTTTTCCCTCCCAAACAGTCCTCTCTCCCTCTCCGCCGTCACTTCTTCTTCTTTCTCTGTCACTTGCACAGCCGTACGGGCACTGTCTCTATGGTCTTCATCCACTGCGAGAGGCACATACCGATGAAGTACAGTTATAGCGTAATCATATGAATTTCAAGGACATTGGCATCACAATGTACGAAACATGACATAAATTCAGAGTACAAAGCTAGTACTTTTCGAGCCAATAAAGTTTGTATTTGAGCTTGGGAAATTATAGGACTTGAATTCTCGAAATTACTAATAATTAGGCCTTTCACGTGTCAGTTATACTGCATATGGTACGGTCAAGGGGTAACCTCTACCTCGGTTACTTCATCCATTATCATTTAACAACGTGTACTAGAATAGTACTCTGTTGCTATCACCCGTCAACATTTAACATATGAACGTCACCAGACAATCATTGAACATCGTGGACATAGGACAGTCGATATCTACCGCAATAATAGTTTTCACTACGTTGGGTATGGCTATCCCTTTAAGGGGTTGCCCGTGTGCACCCTTTATAGGGATATACATAATTGTTAATGGTAATCGTGGTGACCGTGTGCATCACAATTATTATGAACAAGTTTCAAATCTTACGCCGCAAATAGTTGGCTTATGACTTACCAAAAAGAAATTCTCACTGTGCGAAGTTTTTTTGGCGTGACGGATACTGGGATGTATATGTACTTTTGGAAGCAGATACGGTCTATCAGCGAACAACCAACTCATGCGCAATTTTCTCTTACAATAACACTTTTCGATAAACACAGCTTATGCACCTAACCTTACCTATACATGGTGAGATCAACCCGATCTGAACGACGGGGTACATCTCACCATATACATTACAATATATTTTCCACAAACAGTAGACTATCTGAAATACACAAGTATACATAAGTATCAGGGTATGCGCATCAAGTATAGGTATTTTCGACACAGCGGATATCTTTACATTTTGCTCATAAAAGGTTCCAACGTGCAACAGTCAGAAGACATTTTGTTGCCGTTACCCATCAACATATAACATGGTCAAATAAATTAGGATAGTACATTTCTTTTACTTTTACAACGTTTTACATTGAAAGTACATTCTCAGCTAGAACTGGTTTAGGTGGAACGAAGGAACCAAAAACACAGATATCTTACTAAACACCAATTTTGTTTTAGTTGGTACGTGACAGCATAGTTACACGTTGTTAATTCGGAACGTGAAAGTAAAATACATTTCATCGAGAAGCTTCTCCGTGTAAGCCTTAAGAGCATCTGAATAGATTTTGTGCCAATTAGTCAAATTATTTTTCCCTCCCTCTAGGAGCAGTAAAAAATCTCAAATGCTTGTGATGGTGTTGTTACGACAACACCATCCCTGAATGGACTCTACTAGCCAGTTTCATTTTTATGAGACCATCTTCAGATTTTTGGTACAATATCTCGCACGAGATTATTGATAGAGGCTTTCGCTTCTCCCTTTCTTCCTTCCAAAATCAATGCATTGCCTTCATCATCCTCAGTTTTAACATTTGAATCATCTCTTGTTCCATATCTTTCAGGAGCTTTCCTACTCCAATCTGACGATGTCCTAGTAGATGATCTTGTTCGTATCTTGTTCTTTCACATTTTGTCTTGAAGGCAGACTGTGAAGAAAACAAGATTAGTCAATGCGATGTCCTAGGAGATGATCTCGTTCGTTTCTTGTTCTTTCACATTTTGTCTTGAAGACAAACTGTGAAGAAAACAAGATTAGTTAATGCCAAATACTATCTGGCAAGCGGAAAGCGCTGTTCTTCTGCTCGAGTGTTGTGCACCTCTACCTCTGGTCTCGTGAATTCGATTAACGGAATTAGCAAAGCCGATACAGAGCGTACAGAGCGTACTGCCTAAGTTTTTCTAGTTAGTAAAGAAGATGAAGAATTTTCATGAAAATGTATGTTGCAGCAAATGAGTGGGATGTATTGTAGATATATCACTAGTACTCTCCTGTTGTAGCCATAGCTTGCTCTCTCTCCCTTAACTCTCATGTAGGCAACACGAAGATCAAGAACTTTGAGTAACTTCACTACTCTGAAGTAAGACCAAGTCGAAGATAAAACATGTTAAGAATCGAAATTCATTCCGAATTGGGACCATCTCAAAATTCAAGTAGATTGCTAACTCCATTCCTAAGTTCTTTTAGTATCCTCCAGAGCTTGTGAGCAAATTTGTTAAGAAAATGTAAACGAGGGAGAAGGATGGCCATATAGAAAGACAATCTGGAACGCGTAGTACAGCCACACTGTGTGGTATGCAGTCAACATTGAGAGCAGAATTCTTCGCCCCACACACAGTGAGAACAGCATTTTTCCCGTCTTATACCTGGCCCGGCCCCCTGCTACCAGAGAGTGGCCCTTGGAGTTCCAACTCCTTTATCATGATTAAGTCTGAGTGCACATCTGTGTGCGATGGAATTTGAAAGTGAGAATCCAAACTATGGATCCACACATACGGAATTTTTTTTACACTCCGTGTTACAATCCTATCCCAGCTACTTCATAATGACCTTAGAAGTTGCGAGCTTATTAGAGTCTGAACGCAGACCTGTGTGATATGCTATCAACGGCGAGAGCCAAACCGTAGGCTCCCATTCCCCACACTCAGAGACAACAGCACCGCTCTTGTCTTATCCGGCCCTGCTACCAGAGAGTGAACCTTGGAGTTCCAACTCCCGGTCCTGCTGCTATCAAATAGTGGCCCTTGGAGTTCCAACTCTCGTATCATGGTTGAGTCTGAGTGCAGATCTGTGTGCGATGGATTCTAACAGTGGGAACCCAATCTGTGATCCACACGCACATAAGATATTTTACATTTCGCGTTACCATCTGGTCACGCTACTTCATAGTCACCTTAGGAGTTGCCAGTTCATTAGAGTCTGACAGGAGAACTTTGTGGTATGCTATCAACAGCGAGAGCCAAACCGGAGACTCTCATTCCCCACCCGCTGCACATGTAAGTAATCATGAGGGAGATCATTAGAGTCTGACTGCAGAACTTTGTGGTATGTTATCAACAGCGAGAGCCAAACCGGAAACTCCTCTTCCCCACCCACTGCACATGTAAATAATCACGAGCGAGAGATTGCCATTCAACTAACGCACTACTTTGCTCTTCACAATGAAGATTGACCACGGCTTGTGTCAATTCCATCTCCATAACAAGCCTGTTGGCCACATCAAAAAACGCGTGTTCCACTTTGAAACTCCACCAATACCGATGCTCCTTCTTGATCATTAATCACATAATGATCAAACTCCCCCACGAACATTTACGTGAGTGAATTTTTCTTGTCATTATGAAGAGCCTGATAACTCTCCCCCTCTTTCAATGGGGGGGGGGGAGAGTTATCAGGGCCCCTTGAAAGAAACATCCCCGTTGACAAGAACCTTACATGCTACTAAATCTACCGCCAGTCTATAGCGGTAGACAAACGTAATGTATATAACATCACATTTGCACCTGGCTCACCGCAACATTTATCCTACTACTAAAAAAATGGTTGCTACACTCAAGCAACCTGGTGTGACACCAGAATTGGACTGTGTCACAACAGTCTCTAACCCGTTAAGGATGATGCCTAGAAAGCAGGGAAAGGAAGATGGATGGGAGGAGTAGTTGGATAATAATAAAAAAAAAGAGTTTTGAAAGGGGCTAAGACATGTGACTCCATAGTGATGTCCAAATCAGATCTCAACTTCCCCACCCAAGCTAGCTGTGATCTGCTGGATGAATTCCTCAAGAAATACGTCTCCGGGCTACAACGAAGGATTCCTCATTCGTCTGCATCGTGTCTGCTTAGGGACTAGGTGCGTCATTGTCGGTATATATAGCTTCAGATGGTGGTGCATCACTCCCTGACGATGAGAACCCGTTCGATGCGCCATCCTTGGATTCAGCTGGTTTAGATTCGGGTTGAGGGGAGCAGCCTTTGGTGGAGCAGGCCGCAACTTCGTCATGATTGGTTTACAGAACCTGCATCGGTGGTGGAGGGTCAGAAGTCAGATTGATGAAGAGAAAATCTCAAATTTGCCCACCTTACCTACTTTCAAATACACATCGTCATTGCTTATGAGTCCAACAGCATTCCTCCCGTCTTATGTCCGCCCTCTGCTATCAGAGAGAGTGGCCCTTGGAGTTCCAACTCCTGTATCATTGTTGAGTCTGATTGCAGATCTGCGTGCGATGAAATTTCAAAGTGACAACTCAAACTGTGGATACATATTTTACATTTCGAGCTACCATCGGCTCCTGCTACTTCATAATGACGTTAGGAGTTGCCAGCTCATCAGAGTCTGAAAGCAGAACTTTGTGGTATGCTATAACAGCGAAAGCAAAACCGTAAACATCCCATCCCCACACACAGACAACATCATTCCTCCCGTTTATGATCAGCCCTGCTACGAGAGAGTGGTCCTTGGAGCTACAACTCCTATATCACTGTTGTATCGTTGCAGATCTGTGTGCGATGGATTTTGAAAGTGAAAACCCAAACTGTGGATACTCATACACAGTAAATATTTAACATTTTGTGTTACCACCTGATCCGCTACTTCATAGTGACGTTAGAAGTTGCCAGATCATTAGAGTCTGACCGC